CTTTGAGCTCTGGCCACCAGTATATGAACAAACCCGTGCGCTATGAGCAGAATTACCTACAATGTGCATACACCGACCCGCATGGTACGCTGTACTCCTGACTTATAATTGAGCAGGCGCTATTATATTTTAAACAATTGTTCGTGATGAATGGAAAAGAACAAAAGTATAGGTGGTTTGTTCCGGACCATCATTTTGATATGTGTAACTTCAATATCTTACACCGTTGCTACTGCTGACTCATTGAGGGTGGGCATTTTAAGTAACGTGGTACACCATGCATATTATACTGGGTTCTTTAAAAACTGGAAAAAATACATAAATAAAGGCTTAATGCGAGGTTTACTTATTGGCATGTTGGACTTAAATTCTTGCGAGAGGAGGAAAGATAAGTGACCACAAACCTGTTACACATCGGCATATTTTGATACAAGAAGAGATTGCCTCCAAACAGTGATTCAGATTTGCTGCTCACCGAGGAAAAACGAGCACTGGTCATATTTCACTCTCCTTGCGGATGCGCGCGTGCATGCATGCGTGCTATCTTTGCTAGAATCGCGTGGGCGTGCAGGCCAATCATTTCTAAAAAAACTTTGAAATAGAACACACTAACGACCAGGATTTGGGGCACAAGAAAGGGGGCTTCGTGTGGGGCACACGTGTCTATGTGTCACCTTTTTTTGTTGAGCTTCATTCAGTTTGGTTACCTGTAAAAATACAATTTTTATAGAAGCTAAGGAAGAGAACGCCCCTCGTCAATGTGCCCCCTTACTCTGACAATGATTATGTTCTTTGCAGGTCCTTCCGTAAACATCTGCATAATATTAGGAAAAATTAATGTCAGTCTGACATAAAAGAAGACCATGAAGTTTTAATCTAGGTTTTCATCTACGCTATTAAAATCACATTTACAGCAATTTTGTTTGTCATTCGATTAGATATACATGATAAATGTGTTCAACAAAACTATTGTCAATACTGTCATGTACGGTACATGTAAAATGATAAGAAAGATAGGCCCACTCTAGATGGATTATTTACCAACTTGTCGGGCCAAAACATTTGACACCTCAACATTTGAATAGTTTCTGTGTTGGCACGACCGTGAAGCACAATCGTTATCTCCGCTAGTTGTAGCTGTGCAGGTGTGTGTGTGTGTGCGTGTGTGTGTGTGTATGTGTGTGCGTGTGTGTGTGTGTGTATGTGTGTGTAATATCGTAGGCGTGTAGTGCGACACGCCCAACTTCGATATTATCGCGGCATCACCGGAGTAAGACTTTAATGTATCACGTATACAGATTAAATATGGGCAATACACTTTGATTACTAACTCATAAAGAGATGATATCAACTGCAGTCTTTTGCACATTCAGTTAAAGTCCGTGAAACTTTGTCTTATTTTGTATTTTTTTTTATTTTTGTGTACCAAGTACCCAAGGCCTTTTGTATTATTTTTAAATATGAACAGTGCAATTGCATTTAAATTGCATCTTTAAGTTTGGACCCATCTTAGACGTAAATACGCTATAATGAGTCGTTCTCTGGGCCAAGCAAATTGATTTTTTTTTTGGGGGGGGAGACTTAATGGCCGAAAAATATGCCATGAACAGTTCTAATCTTTCCAAAATTAAAGGAGTGTTCCCCTTAGGCTTACAGAAAATGAATAAAATACGTGTGTTCAAAGGGTATCCAAATATTAATTAGCGTTTGGCCATTAGATCAAAATGAAATAAAACATAATAAAGTGCAAGGAAGTGTAGAGCAATTATTTATCAGTAGGAGAAAATAACTTTTTCCCCAAAGGAAAAATTCATTTTTGCTTGTAAATATTTCTATAGAATTCTTTCAAGATGGCTTGCTAAAAATGCCCACCACCACACATTTTCTGTGAAGAAAAGAAAATATTAGGAACGAAAAGTATTCATTCGAGAAAAATATTTAATTCTGGACTCCGCATCGATTTCTTTCGCCAACTGTCACGTAGGGCCTACTTGGGCAGGATGAAGACGCTCTACTGGGCATGCATATTTAAACACGGTGTTTACAGTCATCACACCAACCAGAGGCCAGGTCACGGAGTTTATATATGTACCGTGATCATGCTTGCACAGTGCGCTGGTGTTAAGAGACTGTTAGATTTGATTCGTACAGGTTAAGGTTAGCGTGACGTAAGTGGATCGAAATTTACGACGGGACTGACCTGTACAAATCGATGATAACCAAACCCTGCATTTAATACACGTGCGCAAGGAAGTGCATGGATGCGCCACTGATTGTGAACACGTGCGTTAGTGCTTCAGAAAACCTTAATCGAGTTCTTGGCGTGTAGAAAATATCCCTAAAATATATCTAAAAGGGTCTACACGTACACATTCGCTTTTTGTAGTCCACATAAATGCTGACATAGATTGAGATAGATATAAAGTTTTGATATCAGCCACTCTTCGCCGTTGAAATAAATTTCCGCCAGTCATTTTTCGTGTTAAACTTGTTGTTCTGTAGGTCCTAAATCGATTTTTAATCTCTCCATCCTCAAGCACCCGGACATTTTGTCCTAGATCATCATTGTGATGCTAAAGCACACGCCCATAAATGACTATAAAACAACATGCTACATAAAACGTGTAGTTCCGTTGATAACTTCGCCGATACGATCGGAACATATAGAAGAAGAAGAAAAATAACGCAGATATTTATCTATCCATTTGTCCGTGCCAGGTGTTGTTTTCCCCCTAATGCCATGGCACGTGCAATATGGTCAATACAGAAACAGACGTAAATAAAAAAATGATAGGTACCCACGTAAATTTTGTTGCTATGACAACTTGTTTTAGGATCAAACTGTTTTTTTTTAATTAACTTTGCAAGCAAAGGATTTTCAACGACTCAACTCGCCACACTATCTGCTGATCTTTTGCTTAAATAAAGATTGAGAATATTCTTTATTGAAATACATTTGTGAAGTAATTTAGGCAGCGATCTAGCCATTCACGAAAGTTGAAGTAAGTACATGTAGACTGGCTAAAATTACTGAAATAATATGTTTTCTAAAATATTCAGATAGACAGCTTACATCAAATACACCAGTGCATTTTCAGCCTTAAAAAGACTGGACAATCAAGGAATATTACAAAAAATATTTATCTAGCTTTGTGTGTGTGTGTGTTACTTTTTCATATAGTGCTATCTAACAGTGATCTAAGCATCATTTCCACGCAGTACATCTGTCGCAATTTCCTCGTCAGAGCATTGGTTTTGGACTGTCTTGGGCTAACAAATAAAGGTATCGGTTCTCATTAGTGGAGCAGATGGCACGAGAAATCCGGCGATTCTTTATGTCTTCCACCTAAAAAGGTAAGTACCCGTTTATATGGTTTCCACGAAATTCACGACGTGCTTGTTATTTTTTTCAAAATCTAAGTGTAGAACTTTAAGGTGCAGGCGTTAAACAGTGTTGGGAAGTGGGGTTTCTCAGTCAAACAAGGTTTTCTGTGGGTAGTGCTTCCATTTTTTGACTGGAGATACCTTGATACTTATGGCCGTTTTACAGGGGCACAAGACCAAACACATACAAACACTCCAGACCCGTAGCCGGGAGGGGGGGGGGTCAAAAGAACCGCCCTTTTTGCTGGGAAAGGTCCACTCAGGGTAAAATTTGATCTCAATGTCAGATACGACCAAATTGCACAGAAGAGGAATTGTAATCACTCTCTCTGTTGTTGGCTTATTTTAATTTAGGCCTAATCAGACCACGCCTGCACTGTTTATGAATATATACTGATATCACCATTGGCCCAAAAAGCCATTGGTTGTGAAGCTCAAGGTGTCCTTTTCTAAAGCAGTCTGTGCACAACTTTATATATTGCATGTAGTAAGACTAACATAGGTTATACTGTGGTTAACTGATAATTTATTGATTGAAATGTTAGTAAACCCTTACATTAATCTTAATAAGCTGTGTTAGTGTTTCTGATTGCACTATCTTTATTTCACAGCCTGTTATCTATACAAATTTGCCTCATGATTTATGTTATTTGGCCAGAGCTTGGTGTTATATTCCATTGAGTTTCCAGGACTGAAAATCAGACATGTAATGTTCTTACTTCTAGGTGGTATAGATCACAAAATGGTGTCAATTGGTGCTGGCTTATGAGAATGTACTTCATCTCCTGTACTTCAATAGAATATTGACTTGCATTTCTCTGCCTCGGTGCTAAGATAACCATAGGGGACACAAGTTCTATCAGGCTTAATCATGATGGCTGCAGACAAGAAGAGCGTAAATATTTTATAAATATGTTTTTTATGAAAAAGTTATATAGTTTTTTAAAATCTGTTTCATTACTGTTTGATTTTCTTATAAATTATTGCTTTAACTGAACTAAGAAGATAGATCCAAGATGTAGAGCTATTCACATTTGAGTTCTTAAAGCTTTCTTAGAATTTTCTTCATGAACTGATGTTTTTATTTCAGGTGCACACTCATGTCACCATAAATAAAGATAATGAGTTATCTTCCTTGGCAGAGCCTTCAAAGCCAGTTAACCTCTGTCTGTGGAGGGTCATGATCTGTATAGGGTGAGTACCTGACATCGTGAGTCTTTCTGTTAGACAATTCATAAAATATTGATCAATTTCTTTATTACTTGTATGTGTGAGCTTAAAGTGAGTGTAATTTTATAGGTAAGTTATCTGTAGTTGATCTTTTGGCAGCATTATATAAGCAAAACATTATTATTTCCAGATTTAAGAAATTAAAAAATTAGAAAATTTTAAGTTTTAAAAAGCTTATTTTTAAGATTTAATTTGATGAATTAAGTCATAGAAAGAGTGCTTGACAAACTCACCTGTCACTTATCTGATTATATTATTTTTATATGTTGTATTCTTTTTGCTTTTGTTTTTGGTCAATGAATTCACATATTATTGATGAAAATATCAAATATTTAATGTGTTGGTATGTAGTTTGAATTTGCTTTCAGGACCTTGATATATGGTTCCTATACTATCCTGGTGCATCTGTGTGAAGTAGATGGGAAGATTCCTTTCAGCTCATCCTCCATGGTTCTTGTCATTGAAATATCAAAGGTATAAAGGCTTGATGTTAAAGTGTGCTCTCAGTGACATATTGTGAACATTTCCATCTGCCCTGACGTTGAATTAAAGTTATATACGTAGTTGTTATAATGATTAAGATGATGACCTGATTGCATCAATGTAGGTAATAAAGAATAGTAAGTTTTTTTTCCTAAAGTAAATCTGATATGAAGTGAAGTTGCATGTGTTAATTGCTCGTTTGAGCAAGGTTAAGTGACATGTTACCAAGTTATAGATAATAGTTCAATTTTTTTGACAGTTGCTCATCTCCATAGTGTTGTTTATACCAGAGGTGCAGGAGAAAGGTTTTAACATGCCCAGTTTTAAGTTTGCTCTTCCTTTTGCTGTTCCTGCACTGTTGTATTGTTTTAACAACAATATTGCTGTACACATGCAACTCCAGATGGACCCAGCTACATATCAGGTAATCTTAGCAAATGCAGCCTTTGATTTATGTACATGATTTTGCATATACTAGTACACACATATGTATGTTCGTAAATGTTACAATAAGAAAGCTGTAACTAGTTAACTGTGTAGGAAGCTGTCATAATTTGTACATTGAATATCAATAGCACTAATACGTACCTTGAATCTTTGAAAGCATAAGAGATTAACACATTGATTTTATTCATGCCAATTTAAATCCCTTACATTGAAAATGCAGACTTCTGTTTGATGACTGAAGATTATTTTCCTTTCAGGTGCTGGGAAATCTAAAAATCTTATCTACAGCATTCCTCTATAGACTGATAATCAAAAGGTTGGTGGATATCTTAATGAATGCTGCTATTTTGGTTATTGGCTTGTAGTTTACTGCTCCTATAATAATCGGATAAAATGCTCTTAAATAGGCCAAGAAAATGGGATGATGCCAATTTTCAGTTTTTGTGTAAAATGAATTTGGTTATAATGATTAAATCATGACGATTGGCAACTGGAGAGGAGGGTCTATTTAATTGACAAAGTAGCGGCCAATTGCTTAGTATGCTGATCTACATTTTTTCTTGCCACAGTAGTATAAGCTAAGTGAATTAAAGTTTGTTTAATAATCTTAATTTGATTTTAAGGCCAATCTCCCCATTGCAGTGGGTAGCTCTTGGATTTCTTGCGCTCGCTGGAATAAGTAATAGGTGAGTTGGAATTATAATGCAAACTCACTCACTCACTCTCTTTCTCACTCAGTTTGTGTGTGTCTGTGTGAATATTACCATAAGTGAAATTATATTTCAGTTAAAGAATTGTTACAAAAAATATTTGATAATAAAGATAGATTTATGTTTCCGTTACATCAATCCAATGATATTTATTATTTAGTTATGGTGGTTTACAAGCCAAGCAGGGCATCACATCAGCTGGAGTCATCCACATTACAGTCAAGGGTCTACTTATGATTACAACATACTGTTTTGTATCTGGGCTGGCAGGAGTGTACACAGAGTACATTCTCAAGAAACAATATCAGGTGAAAACAAAATGCTACAAAATTAATAAAACTGAAGTGTTGCTGTCTATTCTGATATTTCACAGTGTTATTAATATTAAAAAATATATTCACGCTTACATGTGTTGATATTACAAATGTAAACAAGCAAGCTATGTCACTGTAGATGTGGCACATTTGCAGTGGTCTATATGTTCATGAAATTAAATTATACCTCACTCTGTGATTTCAGACATCAATTCACCTCCAGAACATCTTGTTGTATATATTTGGGATATTGCTGAATGGAGGGATGTGGCTGTCACAGGCAGCAGCCTCTGGCTCTCCAGGTAACTGTCTTAGCAGATACTTGCTTCTTTAATTCTTTTTACCTGCAAACAATTTTTAATGTGCATTTTTTGTGTATGGAATTCAGTATAAAAAGTCTGGTACCTGTACTGGTATAAATATTACATATAGGGAATTTTGGCGTAGACAAACAATATTTTATGGCGACTATTAACTCAATTGATTTCATGGGCCGTTGCAAACTGTCATTAGTTGGGGAAACGGTATCTGGTATTAATGGGTTATCAGTGTAAACAGGAAACGGAAATTTTTGAAAATTCTATGTCCAATCGGGAGACCCTGCAACATTGAAGTGGGGGCTTCTTCACTTTTGTCAAAATTTGCAGCACTGAAACCAGGGCTCTCTTTTAGGCATGTGCTGTCGCATTTATACAGTAAACGCTAATACTTGGCCTCACTTTACTATAAGCTCTTTGCTGAAAGCATAGCATTCTGGATTAATGATACTTATTGAGCTTGCTGACAGTAAGCAATTTTTGTATGTGGAATTCAATATAAGTCTGGTACCTGTGCTGGTATAAAGATTATGTAATTAATATATTTTGTAAAAGGTAAATTGACCTTGTCAGCAGCATGAAGTATACTTGTGCTCTCTAGAAATCACAGTACTACATGCACTTATTGAGACATTTTCTAAAAAGTTAAGATAGACCATAGGATTAGTTATAATAATGAAGATATAACTTAAGTTTAGATTAAATGTCTTTCTAGGTGCTTTTAATTTATTCCATGGGTACAGTCTCTACACATGGGTCATTGTTATTACACAGGTAGGTATGCATTCTTCAGTGTCAAACATTTCCCTTATTACAGAGACCTCTGAAATGAACATTTAAGAGAGGGCATGTAATTGGGTTATTTTCTTTTATGATTCATTTGCAATAAATATAGGTCACTTGTTTGTAGCCATGTGGATGTGACACCAACATTTCTCAATACAATTCTTAAGAAAAATCCATATTTTTATTCTTCACTGTTTGGCCTTATGATCATTCAACCAGAAGAAATTCTTTAAGTTAGCTCATTTTATTGTTTGTCTGAAAATGATTGCAATCAGATTTACAATATTTCAGTAGGTAATTTAAAATGGTTAAATTGTAAACTTTAATAGCAGTATTATGCTTAATTTACAGGCATTTTCAGGTCTCATTATGTCAGCCATCATGAAGCACTCGAGTAATATTGCTCGTCTCTTCATGATCTCTTCTGCCATGATGGTGGCCACAGCGCTGTCCATGCTGGTGTTTGATTTGAAGCTGAACATTTTCTTCTGTGCAGCGTTTGTTCTGGTGTTTGTTGCTCTCATTCTCTACCACAGGAAGTGAGGTGATCTGAGATAGTCAGCCATATCCTTACACTTTGGCTGTGCTGGAGAGGAAGTAGTAAATGTTTTTGCATGATAAAGTGAGTGTATAAATTGCGCCATGTCTGGCATATTGAACAAATATATATACATATATAGATGTAGATACATACACAAATTCATATTCAGATATTTTGCCATAGATACACTGCCCCATGTTTAGTGCAGCCATTAACGTCGTTGTATATTGCAATGAATTAATGAAAAAATTACAAATTTTCTAAATTAATTATGTAGTTCTCATGAATTTTCAAAAGCACAACACATATTTAATTCCAAGTTATGTAATTTTCCTTTTACAATAACAGTATAAGATATATTTTTCATGGTCAAAATAACTGTTAGAAGTGTTTTTTTTTATTATTATTATTTTTTGCTGATGCAGTAAGTAATGTTAGTAGGGTTTTAGTAAGTTTTATAAAACAATGGAAAATTGATGTCTGCAAACAATGTATTTTAAAAACCTACTTGTTTTTAATTGCTATTTTACAGCATTTGCTTATTATGATGAACACAACATATTTTCTTTGTTTTGTGATTTAATTGTTTTATGTGAATCGGATAATTTTTAAATTTGATACTATGCAAGTTTTATGTATTTGCCCTGTTAATTTCCTGTTTTCAGAGTTAAGACAAAACACTTGAAACATTTTGTAACATTGAGTCTCCCAGGTGTTGATTGATGAAGGTACTAGTAATATAAGGTACTAGTGATACGCTGGTAAAGTAATGATTTAACTGATTTATAGTTGAAGCTACATTATGTTAAATTGATTTGAATGATATAATAATGGTTGCAATCTCTATAATAACCAGTATAACTGAAATATAATCAAGTCAAGTAATTTAATTCAGAAGTATAAGGGCTTTTTATGCTTTATTTATATTATTATACTTATTTTTATTTTAAACAGAATTTTACCTCTTCTGCCCATTTGTCATAACTTAACATTCATGCTTTAGCCTGTGTATGCTTTTAAGGTTTGACGAAGTAGCTGGTAGCATAAGAATTCTTTTGTGTGTTAAATCAATTTAAATTTTATGACAATCAACAAAATTGAAAAAAACTTTGCACCAAGTGTCTTGTAATCAATGTTAATGACCAAAAACAGACTAATTAAACTTAAGATTTGGTGCAGGCAGTGTTTCTGTAAGTTTATGGTTAAAGAACTTAGGCATGAGATAAAATGGGTTTTTCTCAGAAATATTAGTCAAAAACCTTGCAGCATAAACATAGCACAGAAACCAGTCACTTGATGTTAATCAGGCAGAAAGCTTAGTATATGTAACTTAACGATTTTTGATTCCATGTACTTTTTATATATTTGTGCCAATTACATATGAAATGTTAAGTTAAAGTTTGCGCACTGAATATTGGCAATTCCATGTCATTTTTTTAAAATTGATAGGTGCTTTTAAGGCTTTTAAAAGTGGGTGTTTTCATTTGCTCTGAAGAAGGTGATGATTGCAGCTGTGGCAGGAATGGAAGTCCAGGGTCCTTTATGATTACTGCTGGTTAGGGTTTGTCATAGTATTGAGGTTAGTATATGAGACGAATGTCACCTCTTAAAAGAATGGGGAACGGACTACGGTCCCTAGCGAACTATCAATCCTGTCACACCGGCATTTGTTATTTCATATGTCAAAACATTGCTTGCCGAATATGAGCACAAAAATTGGTGCTGTTTGCAATATATATATATATATATATATATATATATATATATATTGATCACTACATGAACTTATATACACTTTCTTTAACCGGAAATATACAAAATATGAAATTCAGCTTAATTTTTTTTGCAGCAAATTTTTGCTTCATTAAGTGTGCACGTGTGATCCCCATCTTAGCATAAATAATTGATAAAAAGCAGCAAAACAAATGTTCTCAAATGTATTGGTTGATTTTACCTCTCAGATATCACAAAGCCATTCACATGTTCTTTAATCTGGCAAAGTTTTATTATTAGAATTATTATTTTGCGTTATTCTGCTGCATTTTTGTAGCGGGTGCAACACGCAGAAGCTAGAGAGACAACCCGGCGTGTGTAAAGCCTCTCTTCTGGTCCTCAAATCAAATTCGGTTCCNATACCGCAGAAAAAGTTTGGGGCCCAAAAGAGAGTCAGCCAAGGGACACGTTTGGGGAACATGTTAGAACACGTCATGATGGACATTTACAGGTGTAGGACCAGAACAGAGCCTATGGTAAACAGTTTAGAACCAAGGGACCGAACTTGATTTGAGGACCAGAAGAGAGGCTTTACAGGCGTGCACTTTGATACCCTTGTATTCCATGTTATCATTTCTGTATGCGGTTAACGCTGAATTTGGGGAAATTGCCAAAACATGAACACAAGGGAATTGGATAATAGCTATGTATATTTAATCCTGCCGATCCAAATCTGAATAACTTCAGATCCCTACATTCCCTCTCACCCTCCCCGTAAAAGCTTGGGCGAGTTGGTTCACTGAGAAAGTAACTGTCGGGGTTAAAGTATCGTGTGAATTAAAATTGGTCTTCCGCATAATTGTGAACTAAATTTGTTTTACATCGTGTAATTGATATATCTGCTTAGGCTTAATTAGCAGTTATTTTTATTTTTATTAATGGGACCCATAAGATATAAACTTCTCTTTTTAATAGTTTCTCCTCAGTCAATTGTTGTAGGTGTGATTGTTTTCTGCGTTGTGTGAAGCGTAATTGTTTTCTCGGTTGTATCGACCAAGATAGCAGAGCATACATGTATAAGATACAAAAAGCGATCACTGTACAATAATTCGGTGTGTATATATGCGAAACTTAAATGGCAGTTTCATATAGAATCAAGTATCACGTATTAATGAAAGCTTTTGCTAAAAACACTATTTCACCAGTTTCCTTGCAGCACCGAGCACAATGAAATATAAATCTACATGGAGCATTCAGCGTACCAAATTCTGCCGCCAAATATACTCTTTTAACTGTTTTAACAAATAACAAATAAATTAAAATAAACGGAATACCCAGAAACGAATAATTCAAATTCCAATGTCAAGTATGAACCCCCAATGTGTGCACAGAGTCAGTTCAGTACAGTTAGCCTAATGAGAGAAATACTGAAACTTCTACTTGAAGTTCCATTGAAAAGAAACTTACGTATGGGGAATTAGGCAAAAGACATCCAGAGAGGGAAATGTCGAAAAGAACTAACAAATTGAAGATCAAGACCTTTNAGTGAAAAAATACCCATTTTCCCATTGATTTGAATGGGGACTAGTGCGATATGCAGGGTGTAACATATTTGGGCGTAGTTCTCTTATTTGGTCGGTGACCCCCAATTTTTTTTGCAAATTTTTAATGTACTTGGGTGTCTCTTCAAACAAAAAAATTTTTAAAAAAATTCGAACGTTGGAACATGTAACGACCGATCTACCTTAATACCCACAGCTTCTGAATTGCTATTGACAGTTCTTATTGCGGACACACCCGAAGGACAATTTATAAAGTGAATATGGACAGAAACTTCTTGGAATGAAGATAAACCTCAAGAAAGCCAAATCTGTTTTGTTACTTAGATAGTCCAAGGGACCAAATCTCTATTATCTGGAGATAATTTCATTATCAAATAAGTGAAACTTCGGAAGACTTAGCTTTTGGCGGAGACTAGCAAAATTGACAAATAAGCCCCATAGCGCATGTCAGAAGCACGGACATTTTCAATAAGACAAAGATAATTATAATTATTGTTTATGCACAATGTGTTGGGTACTTTACATTATGGAGCAAAGTCATGGACCGGGGTAGGGTACCTGTACTTGTAAAATGTAAATTAATTTTAATCTTTTAAATTTTAAAAAAAGCTGTCTCATGGACATAGTGGAAATGAAACGTAGACGTAACGTAAGTAAAAAAAAAAACTGATCTGATCTATGAACAGTTTGGACATCTAACGGGTCAAAATAACAGGCCAATTGTTCAGAGATATTTGCCGTACAACGTTAATGGATAAGGTACATGATAAATAAGAAAATTTTCACATTAATCAGGCATGATTTGTTTTAAAAAGAAAATATATCGACTGCAAGTTGTTTTGTTTAAGCTATATCAATATTTTATTAAGCTTTTATCAGTTTAACTAAATGTACAGCTTATTTTTCGATTACGAATCTGTTTTTATCTGGTCAGAAAAACACAACCATGTTATATATATTCCTGAGCCCTCAGACAAAATGTTTATGGCAGAAAATTGAATGTGTTGGTATAATAAAATGATAAAAAAGTCCATATCAGAAGAGAAAAGGTAAAGGCTTAAGACCATAAATCTAAATCCTGGACATCAATTAAAAAAGCCAAATAACACAACTTTACTGATATCTCAACATAAATATTTTCTAACACATACATTCCAATTGACAAGAACTGAATGCCGTACATATGTCACCAGATATTTCTCTCGCGTTTATTATGATTCTAAAAATAAGTTCAATAAAAGATAATCACTTCAGCCTTTGCAAATCTCACTAATCAAAAAGTCTAAGATACTATCTGATAGGATAAAATTATCTAATCATGTTTCCCTGTCACTTTCCCAATTTTTACTAGTTCAGTTGAAGTCTACATCGCAAAAGCCCAGGAGGATATCGTTTTATTTGTAACACTAGCGCACTAGTCTACTGTATATATGTTGTTAGATTAGCTCTGGGTCGGTTCCCGCATGCTGGCGTTGGAACAAGATTTGGACAACATCAAGGATTAAACAACCTCTCAGCACATCCTTGTCTCAGCAAACATCCGCTAGGCACAACCGCAGATTTTGTAAGTAGCCTAATCTGTCCATAAAACAGACAATAGTCTGTCCTTTACGCAATCTGCCTATACTTGAAGTGGAATAAAATCTTGCTTCTCTTCGGTTCTGTTAATGGATGACAAAAATAGACGGTCTGCGTCTCAAATGTTCAAATCATCTTTATATCCCCTCATGAATAATAACAGACTGATCAAATTCTACCTTCGGGATTTAATTTGAGAAAAGAACGCAACACATCCGCCCATTCCCCCATTTTATTTCATTATTTACACAATGAATGCCACATGGCTATAGGTTTACGTAGTGACGTCATCATCTGGTTCCAGTGAGACAGTTCGGTTCCAGTGGTATTAGCACCGACTATTATGTGACCTATAGATGATACTTTTCCCTCAGGCATTTGTTCGGCTACCGTGATTCTCAGCTGAACCGTCTAGAATTGAAAAGAATATCGGATATATAATCATAACGTTTCCATATAGACATAATTCTTTAGAATATATTTGTTAGCTATGAAAGACGCCACAGTTGCCATCTGACTGTGAATATATCAATGACCAGGTACAGAACTATTGACAACTTCTGAAATTGCACTCAGTCTCAAGGCATCTTGAGTACATGCATTATTTTACTGGCACCATGCAATGCAAAACTCACTGGCAATGTTGAAGAAGGAACGGAGAATATCATGGCTTCGTTAAAAATTGGATTCTTTTCGTCTTTCTTTACAGTCGTCTTTTTCTTTTTCATCTTCTTCCCATTTTGTAGTAGATACACCTTTACAAAACAGTCTGAAAAAGATCCCAAGTATCAATTTTAATCGTAGACAACAGCATCTAAGGACAGAAATGACAGGACACAATCTAAATATACAGAGAAAATTTACTCCAAATTCTGTTAACCCTACCATTAATTTTAAGGCAACTGGTAAAGCCCTCTCTTTTTCAATAATAATAATAATGTATATCGTCTTTCATTATTCTAAAATTATGATAAAGTCGTCTTGAAATACGAAAATTTCTCACTACGGCCCAGTTTCTCAAGTGTATGTGGGCTACCATGATGACAGTGATTCAGTTGGTGATTTACCTCCCGCCTCCCTGTTCTGATGCCACTTCAGGTTTCTTGCCTTTACTATCACCACAGTTAGCCTCTCTGCTGTGGGGAGATAACTCAGGGAGAACATGATATCACCGTACTCCGCCTGAACCTGCAATTTATTTCACTGATTTACTCTTAGTTTAAAGTGGATGTTAAATGTGTGTGACCTTTTTTTTATCAATTCTATACCGCTATATCGATATTCACATATTGATTGCTTCTGTATGATTGGCAAAATCGATCTTTTTTAATGCATATTATTGGCTATGTGGCAAGTAAAAGTAAAACTGATCTAGAATTTAATTTGGTGAACCATACGTTATATTGCAGTTATGATCAATTGATTGCGTGACAAAGGATGTAGGTGGGCAGGAAAAAAGGAAATATGATTAATCCTCTAAAGGCCTATATCAATTAGTATAATCTTGGATCTATGCCGATTCTAATTAATGTGTGTGATTTGAATGTAACCCATGTCATGGAGAGATTTCTTGTGTCTACATTAACTTTTGTTCTCTGTAACTGTATCTACCACGACCATTACTCTGGGATTCAACGGCAGCCTATCAGCACGGCAAGGTTCATACCTTATTCATTTATTCCGGACACCTATCATATTTCAGTTCTTAATAAGAACATTTTATACGGCGACAAATATGTTATTTCCAAATAACCATTTTCTGATTGTGTTTACTTTTAACAATTTATTTTATAAAAATGTACATTACTGTCGGGTTCCAAACTGACAACTTTGTGACTGGAATTGATCGTATTGTATTTCTTGAAATTCCAAAACAATAATTAAGGATTTTCGTGTTTGGTTACGTTTTTCTTTTTTTTTCTTTTCTTTTTTTTTTTCATTTAGAGACACGGACCATTCATACCTCGTCGATATCCTTCAGGTTCAACCACAATCTAACAGCATGTCGCAGGTCGATGTCCCCCAGTTTTATGTCGCACTGGCCGAGCAGCTTGTGGCGGGCATACTTATCACAGGAGTACACGCTAAATTGGATCGTTTTGTTGTCCAGCTCATCAGGGTCCACAGGGAACAAGAAGCGTTCTTTGTACTGAGGGTTGGCAGTCTCGCGCTGAACCTGAAATGGTAAAATAATCGTTAAACAAAAGGTGCCATTATTGATCTTTAAGTAGTCATTAATTTCATATACATATCCTTGTCTATTATTTTATGTAAACTTAAAAAAGAGACCAGAACATTAACTTTCTAACTTAAACATATGGGTAAACAGCAATTGTCTAGGAGACGTTTATTACCTAAGACATATATATATCTGTGTTAGCATGTTTCAAAATTAAGTTACTGTCCCAAATTTAATTTGCTGCATTATTTTAAAGTGATCATGCAGGTATAAAGTAAAACCTTTAACTCCCGGTTTCTGTTTTAACTAAGTTAAGGAAAGAGCACTAAACACAGTGAGCTAGGGAATTTATAGATTTTGCCTTCGGTGTACATTTGACCATCTCGTCTGTCTAAATACACCTCCTGCTTCATTCCAGGAGGAATAGTCCTCTACTTCGTCTTTATCCAATATTTTCTAAACACTTTATCCAATGAGGACGGTCTCTGGTGACTGTGTTCTATCGATGTACCAAAATGTCTGAGATATAAATCAAGGTCATAGTTGCTTTTTCTTTGAGGAAAATTTCTGGTAATAGATACTTAACTTTGAAGAAGCTATATATGGCAAATGCGTTTGGGTGTTGGTAAAAGTCAAATGTATTGATGTTTGTTACAAGCTTGTCTCTATCAAGTGACAAGAAAATATGGATAAATTACAGTACACAGAATGACTAGTCCATCTATTGATTTAAACTACTAGACAAAAAACGCCTGGAACAGTCAGTAATTTATAATGGAGATCGCACATTCAAAGACGTTCGTTTTCTTTTGCGCCGTCATGGTTGCCAAGATAATGCCAAGGGAAGACAATTATCCTAGGATCGAAATACCACATGGTGTATAACTGCATACCGAAATAAAAAATGATACAACTAAGTACTCGTTTATCTTACTTTTGTGACCTTCTTGCTGTCCGAATCTGGTGCCAAATTGACTTTCACATAAGTATCAACAGTTCCCGTTACTTCGTTCACTTCTAGATCTCTAGCTTGTATGACGCTGACTATAAGTTCGGACACTTCCCTGCAAACACAAGATACAAGTGGCAAGGTAAACCACGTTTAGTAGAGGACATAAGCCACTTCAACGCGGTCCAGGGGAACGAAGATTCCTTACCTCTGCCCAGAAAACACTCTCATTTACCATTTCATTTATCTGAAACCGCATTGGCAGGCTCATAAAGGGGTTTAGTTTACAGTATAAACAACGAAACTTGGGCAAGACATGCTACGTTTAATTTTAGAATCCAGAACACTTTTACTCTGACTTTCGATGCCATGAATTCCATGAACTATATCCCAAAATAAAAAAGAAAAACTTAAAAGCGTGGTTTCGGTCCCATCTTCGTTTGGTGTCATGGTTGAAGAAAATTCAAATAAAATGCTTGATTTAAAAACGTAAAAAGAGAAACAGAAATGGAAAACAGGCGATCACAAAACCTGTCAAACTCCAGCCCAAATTCCAGCTGTCCTATAGCAGCCACTGCAGGTTCGATGTCCATGATAGAGGAATCGGAGGCAATGCTCTCACAAGAAGGCGCTTTAGTAAGGCCTTGCCCAATGTCATAATCTGATGCTGAAAAGAACGGAAACTTTTTTTCAACATTTGCTCAGTGTAAATAAATAATGGAATGCATAAAAAAAGACAGACGGTACTGTCTTTCGTTTTTCCTTGAAAAGCGATAGAGCGCAAATGCCGCTCCAAGCAGTATACTAAAGACATCCAGCTACAATATTAAGACTTTCACAACTATTTTAACTAACTATTTTAACATTATTCCAAAACATACAAGAAAACAAATACGTTTTCGCCTTTTTTCTGCATGGTAATTATTAAAAGGAGAGTAGGAAGGAATCCTACCTGCCATTCTTCATATATCAGAATAATGATTTGATAAAAATGATATACAGTGTAAATGACACATACCAGACCATAATATTCATTACTTGCCACATGATAAATGTGCTGTAAACACCTCTATCCTAAATGTGTATACATTAATACAGTGATAGTTTACTTGATTGGTTTACTTTTCTTTACAAGTAGTCTTTCCAAGATCCTTGCTCTTACAGAAATATAGAAGTAGAGTAAACGAGGTAACAGGCTGGTGTGGTTTCCTTTCTGCGGAAGTTCCGGGTAAGTTAAATGTGAACGTGAGTGATAGGTGCGTGCGTGAGTGGGTGCTGTGCGTGCAACTCAATACCTATACTGGATGATAAAGAGGTTGGTGTGCTGCGCCCAGACTGGTGCTGAGGGGTAGTAGCCGGGGGTTCGGCGGTCTCGTTTATGTTCTGGTACTGGGGATCTGCCTTCACCGTGTCGTACTCAACATATTTACCAGAGGCGTCAAGTGCAAAGTCCGACTCCGAGTTCATATGAAAGGAAGAATACACCAAACGAACAAAACAAAACCAATGAAAATCATTAATGAAAATTATCAAACATAAGTCAGGTTGTGTTTGATAACTTTCATTTATGATCCAACTACCAAGCCAATGAACATTTTTGCTCAACCAATGAAAATATTAAGTAGTTGGACAGGATCAAGTTACATTTTGTTAAGACTGAGGATTAATCATAAAGATATACATGGTGGTGTAACAAGGCTTAGTTAAAACCCTTGTTCACGTAGCATATAGAGCTGGAAAACGGTCGAGACAGTAGGCATATATACATAATGTCAATACTGATAAAAAAATAGATGGTTCATAGCTATGCAATGGCTATTGAAGTTGACAAGATAATGTGTATTTGATAGCATCTTATTGATATATTTGATTGTAATTGTAAGATTAATGATTCATCTGTACACAATTTAGATTTATCAATAACATGACTGTAGTCTTAGCATTTAATTAAGTTTAAGAATACTGCACAAATATCGTGCAAGAAAAATATACACATACTGAAGAATTAAGAAACGTTCACAATTTAAGCATGGTTTACATTTTAGCTGTGTAGGACTACAAAAACAAGTTGTGGAAAGCCGCATTTGCGGCTGGGAAGGGTTTTAAGCCTTCATTAGTGTTTTTCCACAGAGAACGGAACTGGTGGTGGGTATATTGATTTTAGATTCATCGTATTATCAGAACCAAAACAAATGTCTAGCTGTACATGAACTTAGAATAAAAGAGATACCTAATATTTATCTAAATACGAAACTTCGTATTTTTGTTTTCCTTTGTTAAATTACATGTATATTCCATCTCCCTTTTCAGTATCGAACGACTAAAGACAGTTAAAATTCAATCGTCTTGTTACATTAATCAGTGAATAGCAGGCAGAATATTCAATCTATATGAGCTTACAGGTTATTTGAGCTTGGTAGCAGATAAGCTTTTTCTTTGCTGCAGTTTTCTAGCTTCATACATACCAGCATATTTATTGATACATTTTGTACATATGCGTAAGTAGCTTAAAATGATGCACAAAATGCTTTAGATGCTCTCTCTTTAAGTGTTTAAATTTAGAAAGCAGTCTCTTGCAACAGCGACAGAAATTGATAACTATACCAAGGAGACCCTAGGAGACATACAACCTATAACGCAAACTTCCTCGGAATTTAGAATTATCTGCCTTGGATAATATGTATCTCAACGCAAGAACACGCTGGGTGGATCGAGGAACGGTGGACGTGGGTGGACTGGTGCAGTGTTTACTTTCATGGTTTGGGAAATAAAACAAAAACACATTTCAGACTACAAGCTTTCTCCATATATCACAGTTCATAATGTCATTTGCACCAAACCGTCATTTTGTTGATATATAATTACATTTTACGGCAGTTTTACAGACAACAGTCTATGTTATGTTACAGAAATGGTGGTGGATCTAACTGACATCACTGCAACACGAAAGTGGAAGTGATCATAAGCATATTTCTAATCAAATCATTTCAAAATTCTTCAAGTATGTACTAGCTATAAGACTAAATCTATACACCCAGTATTATCGACTGAAAAATCAAAGGCAAGTAAACTATATTACCCCTAGTTATACTATACAAATTGCAATAGATTCAGCGATTATTCCCCAATCCAGATTCGCAAGCACATTTCTCATGGGAGTTGCGTCAATAAAAGTGGATCTTTAGCGTTAAAAATTGTAATGCAGATAAAGATAAGATTTCACAATTTACTGATATGATAGGCAAGTTGAACTTAAGGTGGATACATAGATTAGGACCAATGTCCTTATACACTTATACCCCTATTCCACATCGACTACGAATTCTACGAACTGTTAAGAATGGATATATTCCAAGGTTCTTAGTTTAATCGTGATAAATTCTTTAAGCTCTAAACTGATTCTTATTTATTCTCAGTCAGTTATTGCAACTATGAAAGATCGTGAAATCGACACACGATCTTTGTTGAACTTCCATTTTGGAAATGAAGCCGAAGAAGGAACAAGATGTCTACCAGAAATGTACAAAATTCTACGATTCCTCATGATTTCTGAAATTTACTAATTCCTGGCGGTTCGTGGAATTCGTTATCGGTGTGCAATAGGGGCATTAGATAATGCAGAAATAAACTTTTTCATGTTATGATATAATGCTGTCAAATTAAAAATACATATGGGTGAATTTGCCAATTCGAGCCGAAGTCGCAACAGCAGCGTTTTGTCGTGAAATGGTGTTTTTGAATTCAAGCAGATATCGCTCACCCGAACTGCTGTCCACACTGTTGCAACGCCTATTTAATCACAACTGTAAGTATTACAATTCGTTGCCACTAATTGTTTTTGAAAGGCTTGCTTTTGAATTTATCTGTTAAGAAGCGAAATAATGCAGATGTTTGAGAAAGTATCTAATTAAGGGCTCGTATACATGTATCATAAAAAAATCAAAAGCCAAAGATGGCAACGAATTGTACATGATACCTTTGTCGTCAACCACGCCATTTTCTATGATGATATCTTGACTTAGTTAGGGAGTCACCCCGCAAGCCGATCATTATTTTACATCAATTTATAAATTTATAAATTTAGAAACTGACGATTAACTGGAGCAGAGCTTGAAAATTGAAGCGCGTGGGGTGGTGCATAAAACAACGAAAAAGGAAAAGTTCGCCCTAAAAGCGTTCAATTTAACTGTACTAATAATTGTACTAGGAAACTTTTTTTTATAAACGAAATGGGATAAAAGTTATTTTGACTAATTTTAATAATCCTATTGCTACACTGGCCAACATATTACAGTGCGATGCCTTAACGTTTGTAGGCGAGGGGTAAAATCATATCTGATTAAATAATTTATGAAATATTTTGTTACATTGTAACTTGTTCATTTAAGTATATAATCCAGTAGTTGGTTTCGTGGGAAGTTACATATGTTCCAAAGCCTTTTTAAAGGTCACTTACCATTTCAACAGACCATCTTTAATTCAAAGGTCGAGCCTTATTTGCATTCAAATGTGTGGAAAATTCAGGTTGCTCCATACGATTTACGGTATCTGGTCATTTTGTTATGGAATGGTTTAGATATAAGACTTAGTTGTTTAAAAGATAGGTTGCTCTTAAGTGCTTTTGAGATAGTCAGATAAGGAGACATTTTTGGTGCATTTTTGGCTAGTAATACAAGATATTGAAAATTTAAAAATGTTTTATTTCAATGGTAGTAGAACCCTTGTATAATTTGCCTCTTACCACATAACCGTTGTATCCATTCATGGCATCATGCTTGGTTAGGGACTGCTTTTCCTCCCCAGACGAGAACCACTTGCTGAGGGAGCCTATCCCCATTACCCGGCACAGAAATATGGCCACAATCATGATGAGAAGGGCTATGATAAACACGATTAGGACGATCTCCCAGCCGTTCATCTTTGCGGATAGGTTAGATGTCTGGAAAACAACAAGAAAATATATCACTTTGACCGGGTTCCCATAAACGTGTCGTACTAACTGGATTGATCTAACTCCAAGGGGATTCTCGCTAAATTGCATTCAGTTTAAACGGCTTAAATGTTTGCCACGCCCACTGAAGCTGTAAAGGGGTAATTAACTTTCGTGCACGCTTAAACTGAATGCAATTCAGTGAGAATCCCCTCGGAGATAGATCCTGCTAGTACGATAGGATTATGGGAATGGTCCCTTTGTTACATTTGATGACACAGGATTAATGCAAAAAATACTGAGACACACCAAGGCTTCGTTCACATGGGAAGTCTATTTTCTAAAAATCTACTTTCTATTCGCGGTATATCTTGCGATCACGGTCTGTGCCCTGAATATCCCGCGGTGTAATTACTGGCAGCGCGAGCCAGTTACTTGTAATTAATTCTCGCGACTGCCATTAACTTTCTAACTTCCTACTGCGCATGCGCCAAGGTATCAGAATCTCCTCCGAGCACAGCCGAGAATTAATTACAAGTAACTGGCTCGCGCTGCCAGTAATTACGCCGCGGGATATTCAGGGCACAGACCGTGATCATAAGATACCGCGAATAGAAAATAGATTTTTAGAAAATAGACTTTCCATGTGAACGAAGCCCAAGTCATCAGTCTAGTCCAAAGAAGGTGGCTGAAGTGAATACGTTCAGAACGGTTCTCAGACGTCCATATTTCAGTTTTTGCAGTCTCTCAAAACTATACTAAACTAAATACCATTGCGTAGAAACAAGACATCAAGTACGTGCTATTCTAAAGTGATACATCTTTATTGGGTTCTGCGTCAGTTATTGGGTTTTGCTATCAACAAAGTTTTGAACATTGGTCATTTGAAGAATTGACAATAAAAACAGAATGTCAATCTCAATCTGCATCATAGACGGCATTTTCCTTTTTATCGTGGGCACACAAAAAGGCAAAGAAATGGAATCAATCAAATATAATCAACATGCTTCTTATGCTGATTCATCATCACAGATTCGTCTAAAACCTACGGTTTATTTATCACACAATTATCTGTCAAAGGAAAGACAGTGGCCATCTGTTTGCTAAACCAACAATTTGAACATAAACATAATATAGCCAAGCTTATTCAAATGCTATCACTTAAAGGTCACCTGTCCATGAGACTAAATGTGGCGAAATCGATCAAATAACAGTATATCAAAACAACCCATAAACCATGAAAAATACATCGAGATGTCTTTATCAAGATCATTATCAATCACCTGGAAAAGTTGGCAGACATCTTAATCTATGTTTTACGTGAGATGTCACAAAAATATGTGCATCTTACTCTGTCATCAGTTTAGATCTTAGTCTTCATTATTTTTAAAGGACTACAAACAGAATAAAATAAATATAGGTTGAAGAACATGAAAAAGACGGTCAAATATCATAGTTACATGTCTATAGATCAGTAGGTCTATTACGGTATACAAGTATTCCTAACTTTATATAGAGTAAGATATAATAGAAGTTAATGGCATCTCAACATGATCAAGGAATGAGAGTAAGTATGGGAAAGGTACAGAGGACGATTCTACTTTTAAGAACTAGCCTTCTTTCTTTACGTATAGACGCCAATCTTGCCGTAACACACCCCCCTTCCCAGCCCTCTCCCTTTTTAACATAAACTTTAAATCCACCAGTGCATGCAGGTGTTTCACAGAGAGTGTCCAATGACGACAGGTCTTTGAAGATGTTTTGAAATCCAGGTTAAATTAAAATTGAACAGAGACAGCAGTGTCTTGCATGACCAACTGAGAAGTGTTACGCAACAACATGCAAATAACTAATGTCTACAAGGAAATGCTCATGCTCTAAAAGGCGATAATGAATCAGAAATCTGACGGGAAATACATTATGTAATACTCAATATGCCAAGCAAAATTCGGTCCACTGTAATGACATTTTACATGATTCATCAAATAACTATCATCTTAAGAGACAAGCCGAGAATCTACCTCAAAAGCTTTCATCTCTTTTCAATAACTCTGTCGTCAATCATTAAGAGTTCTGAAGCAACACTTAAAGAACACATAAAAAGTAATCACATCGCGAGAGGAAATGGGTACAGTAGCTGATAAAGATCGATAGCGAACTACATTAGGGCTCATGTTGAAAAATTCACCATTTACACGTATTAAATTAGAAATCTTGAACAAATATCTTACCTGTACACTCTGAAAAGAACAGTAAATTGTTAATACATGAAGCTTGTGTGATAGCATCCACATTGTTTAAAGGAATGGACTTAAAGTGGAAGGAGCTTTTTCAAAGCGTAGCATACACGTACATTATACTCTGGCCGATTCAGTGGCCGCATTGTAGACATAACTATTTTGTTTGCTTTGGAAAACTTTTTTAAGTGGATGGCCAAAAAATCCATACAGGTATGTAAATGTATTTATTCCAAGACTTCTATTTGTAATTTCCTGCCGTATTTTAGACCGCATGCAATCATACCCGATGTCCTAACCAGTGTCATTTATCCTCATATCTACCAGGGTAATGTGATTTTGAAAGTCGGGCCAATTTATTAATTTGCAGGTGCGTGTGAGTTCATAGCTTCAGTTAGATTTATAAGTTGTCTTACGGCCCCACAAAGAGAAAAAACGAATATTCCATGGACTGCCCTCAAGGCTTTGCTGTCTCCTGGCTGGTCTACGTGTTTCGCGAGTTTCTTGTCGCGCTACATAACCATGGTGTTATCTCACGTGAAATTTCCAGTTGAGTAGGTTCTATTTTACTACATTCTTTTGATGTGAATTATACTTCATGGTATCTTAATCACAGCATATTAAGATTGAAAAAAAGTAATGAACCTGCGGATTCGCATTGTCATATTGAGTTGTCAAGGATGGACAGTGAAAAATATGGTTATAAGTGTTCATATCGCGTATAAGTGAAAATATTGAAGAATGCTCAGGGTTTCATGGGAAAATAATCACAAAAAACTACACCATCTTTTCTGTACTATGTATAACTTGAATTAATAACAAGTATGATGAAAAAGTAATTATTTTTATTTCTGGGCATCAAAGACCAGGACACTGCACAATATTGATGGCATATGTAGAATGATCAAAAACTGAATGTCGAGAACACCAAATTGACTGGTATAAAGTCCGCAGTAAAAAAATCTAGTATTCAATGAACCGAGGTAGGGACAGTTACAGCCTTAACAAGACATGGATCATAAATGAGTGTAATTATTTACACAAATGCGGAAGATTGTATTATTAGTAATAATTCAGGCAACACTAACTATGGCATTTTCTAACCGTTATTTCAAAAAGACCACATTTTTTCACCAGATAAGTGATCATTACAAAACATTCATTTAGCTCCTAAGACATTGACAAGATCAGCAAATATTGTCAAATTGGATACAAAATATTCATCTCGCTTTGGCATACTATACTCAAGTTAAGTGTGAAAGTGATAAGGACGAAATACACCCCTTTTCATTGCAAAACCTGATTGATTTAACAAACAAAAGTAATTTATATCTGTGTGATTTAAACCAGGACTTAATAAAACACTTGAGTAATCCAAGCTATTTAGTTATGGTAATCCCAAACCATATTCTTATTTCGGAGTGTAAGAGTGTATTGGCTAACTACAGTGTTTCAATCAATTTGCAGAGAAAAGTCACAGATTTTAATTACGGTCGCAGAAAGGCATGATTTCACACGGACATGATTGATGGAAAATCCTTACATAGATAATGTGATGTGAAGATAGTTCAGATATCTGTATAATTTTATTAAAGACTGTTAATGGCAATAATACCGTGGCCAAGTACATTTGAAAAAGAAACATCATAATCTCATTTCTGTAATGGATTCCTGTTTGGCTTTTGTATCCTGTTCTTAATTCACTGGATTCCTTTTAAAGTCTTTTTCAAACAGCACATGTTTACAGATGGATAATTGATCGATATATATTCATCTAGTGCCCACTGCTGCCTTTTATCACCCAACATCAAGTTCTTGTCAATTGGTTGTAGTGGGCGTATCATTTGCATATGAGACAGAAGTCATTATCCCCCCCCCCCCCCCACCCCAAAGAGCGCATGCGTACGCACTCTTTACTCCACACGCACACCATACAGTTGAATAGAATGGAAAAGTTATCTCCAAAAACACAAGAAAAACGTCAGTAGACAGTAATTTCCAAATATAACTAAAGGACGCAATAAAAAACTTTTGATTTTCGGTGTCCTTTTTAGAATGTGTTCTGTCCCTAGAGAATGATTACACGACACTTATTATGAACCTAAATGAACAATTTTACTGATGGGCAATTAAAAAGTGACCCTTGCAGTCTTTGAAAAACACGTTATTTGTGGGACACGCCATTAGGGAATTATCCCTTTAAGACAGCCATACACAAATGAACGGAGAAGGGGCTTATGGTGATGACTTTTATCAAGTAGTGGATATCTGAATTTCTATTGAAGATGCAGGCAAAAATTCCATTGTTTCATATATCACATATGCAAATGAGCTACGCTTGATACTAGTTTCAATTGAAATTTTATAGTCTATTTTTTTGTGTGATGGTCTAATGCCAACTTTTTATAAATATAAATAATAATAATAATCGTTATTGGTACTACACTTTGGTACAAAGGCTATGACCAAACAGGTCACCTAGGTAACGTAAACACATAAACTGTACATATTCACTAGTACATGGTTCATAAGTTTCAATAAATATCATTATCATTGTTATATGGTATTTCCGGGAAGCCAGGTACGAGTTTCTTAATCGGTTAAAATTCTAAGGATATTTACATACTAGTAAACGTGTGTAATCTTCCAGTGTTGTCTTCAACTAAGAACTTTGCTGCTGCTTTCAGTCACCATCGTTTGTTCGCAGTGAGAGTAGAAAGCAGTGATTTCATTCAATATCCGGCAATATTGTCTTTTCATAATTCCTTTAAAATTGAGAAACAATCAATGAGAACGATAAGTTGCTTCAATACCACTCGCTACCCATCAACGTTATATTCAATAAACTGCGCGCATGCCATTGGCAAACAGGGTATCATTGACATTCCTGCAATGACCTTTTTAGGAGAAATGTAACGGGAGTTACAAATGTTATAAATATATCTTGGGCTACCATTTTCACAACAGTTCTTCTCACTAATTGTTATTTTAGTTTGTAGAACGCACACTGCTGTTTTCGAAAAATATATGGCATTAAATCAGTTATTTTTTTTTTTTATTTATGGCGTCATTGGTGTCTGCAAAATGAACTCTTGTACATTAATCTGGCGCTGAGGGATCTAAATCACGTGGTTTCTTCAAATGACGATAGTGATAGTGAATTGAAAGAAATTAACTAAATGCACATGAGCACACTTCTTAGATAACATTTCTACAGAAAGATTATATAAATGAAAGATCATATAAATGAACTCACCAGATATGTAACAACACTTTTTAGAGAAAGAAGCATAGCGATCTTTAGACTGCCACAAAGACATCTAATGAGTATGCTAACAGAATCTCTAGAATCTGAGCCGGTAAATGTATATTCTAAGCTGATTTTATTTACACCTTGCCTCTTGTCTCGCAATTTTCGAGATTCATACTGCATTTCACCTGCATTATGTACGTAAAGATTTACGTACATAACAGATTAGTACGTTCTTATTATAATAATTATTATAAAGTCATGGCCTTTTCATGGAAGTTACGCTACATGTAACACCAACGAAGATTATTGTAACATCCAGCAAATAGTTACTCAACTTTCCTGCTTTTTCACAGTTAAGGTCTCACAATATTTTAACTTATGACGCTGGCAATTTAAAGTCAACCAAAAAGTTATAATACAGAATAATGCAGCAAGACACCAGTTGAGAGTGCCTCTACGGAACACTCGATAAAAATTATAATAGCGGCCACTAGTAAATTTCCGTAAGGCGTTCTTGAAGAAATCCAAGTCTGTTCACATCTTAGGTGCCATCATGGGTGTGTGTGTGTGTGTGGGGGGGGGGTGGGGGGGGGGGGGGGGGGGGGGGGGGGGGGGGGGGGGGGGGGGGGGGGGGGAGTCTAAATGAAAAGCATCCGTGTCACAGCTGATCAGTTAAAGAGACTCGTGCGCGATAACATAACATCTGCGATAAAACGCAGAAAAAGAACTGATGAAGACTGACGAATGAAAAAATGTAAGTACTCCGTACTTGTAACAAAATGCCACCCTTAAGATGTCCATCAAATCAAAAGAACCGAGAAGATAAAATAACTTTTTTACCATAAAATCTCAATTTTCTGAAATGTTTATGTATATCTAAGTACACAAATCATAATTACGACGCTGGTAACAGCTTTAGATTATCTTTGTATTCTAGTAGTATCATAAATCGACGTGTAGGGTAATTTCCTGCCCTACATCACGTCATAAAGGCATCAGGATGTGTCCTAGTTAGCCAGGTATCGATTTTATACCATAGATTGCTTTGTAATTGTGGACTATCGCAGAACAACGGGAATGGACCAGAGATTCCACAGTCAGCAGATCCAGTTTGCTTTCTTGCATTACAAGTGGAATAAAAACTAGAGATAAGAAGAACGCGTACTTTAAGGGTACGAAAATAATTACCTTCTTGAACAATAGTAGCAATCTCGGTCATCATGTGATGGTAATCATCAGTGAGCATAAATTCTCGCGACTCAGCATAAAATCAAGCGTGGTGTCTGAAATGATGGCAGACTAACAATTGAGTTCGGTGCAGAAACTAATAAAAGCTGATCCACGTGTCTTGTTCGTATTGTTTTTGTTATGTATAATTTGTCTTTGGCCCCACAGTACATATTCAGCATGTTTTGTGTGTTATTTCTGTATTGCTTTCTGAGACGACATTCCCTGCACATAGAGTTCCACCCTTTTTGCTAAAAGGTTAGCCCCACCTAGAGTACGTTTTTTAGTCACGTAGCGCCAGCTGATCAGCGACTGGTTTCCATTCTTAATACATAAGTTGAGAGTGCCTCTATGGGTAAAACACGATGGAAAAATATAGTGCAATATGCTTTAAATGGCAGTGCTACGGCCCCATCCCAACCCTCGTATTGACTTTGATATACGTACATGTAGCATTTCTTAACTTTTGACAAAGAGGCTATGTCCACCAATAAATGGCATTATACCCTGTACTGTAGAACATTGAATCTTTTCAACATGGTTTACATAGTGACAATTTAAATAGATTTATTTATATAGATTTATTTCAGTTTAATCAATGCCTTACACATATATACATATTCGCATGCCTTAACAGTATAAAAAGAGAGTCCTTGGATATAATGCAAAGCGGGTAAAGTACGGGTAGAAAACCGCGTGTAGCAACAGACCTATTATGCCCACCCCATTTCATAAAAAAGAAAGCAAAACGGATGACGCGTAGATAGAGATACGAAAACTGCCAGGAGAAAGTAGTTTTGAGTTCGTCTACTTCTCACGAAACACATGCCGAAATGTCACTTTTGAAAACAGAAATATCAATGCAATTATCACTGCAGCTTGCCTTTGGGTTATCAAGGCAATATTCACAACTGTCAGGAAGACCCATAAAAGCTAGATAGGGTGTTACTAGTGTCTGTAGCAGTACCATGGTTATGCAACAGTTACATGTGTAGGGGTTCTGAACAACAATCCCTTCCAGTCTTATCTATTTTTTTCAAATAGATTTTTTCAAATCTCAAGGAATTTATGCCTTAGAACTCTTACAATAGAACTATATCATTGCTGTGAATAATGCATGCAAGGCAAGTCCACCTCAATCAAATACTTGACGTGGTTTAGAATAGCCCTCGGTTCAACTTCTCTTCCCACATTCAATCGATATGCTATTCTCGGCGTTTCCTCTTTCAAATAGGTTCCAATCGCATGAAACGATACCTCTTAATAGGTAAATTGCTTTGTGACAAATAATTATGAGCCTTGATGTCAATAGCTGGAGAGACTAAGACTTCATGGATATTACTTTCTACGGAAATCAGGCGCAATTAGCCAAAAACTATGATATGTTCAGAAATGTTTAAAAAATGGCAATAATTTACTAATTCACACAACTCAAACGGAAAAAAATGAAAAAAAAAATTGTAATAGTGGTCCGCAAGCTGCACGCTGTGTTGCTTTATCCATTTACCACCTCCTTGTCGTCAGAACCAGATGACATAAAATATAATCCGCTTTAAAGTTATTTTTATCACATTAACGTAAAAACTTCTGTATAGTTCTATTGGCTATTTTGACAAGTGTAAGTTTCTCATATTCCGAGAAAAAACAATGTTTACACAGTTTCTACGTTTATCAATTTTAACACAGTTATCTGTATCGCATACTTATCATAAGAGCAACTTTTTTGCCCAACAAGGTTTACTTTTGCAATAGCTTGTTCACTTTTTCTCGATTTTCAAAGCATAAACAACAATGGAATAGTACACCGTTGGACAGAGTAGTTATATGAGAGTAAAATATGCATATAAAACTGCCTTTCCGTAAACACTCAATTTTCAATTACAAACCATGCTCATATTGGTCTTTACATTGAACTGTCACAATCTCCATAAACAGAATGATTCAATTTCCGATATATGTTATAGAGGTTTAGAACAACATCGAACTGTTCACTTTATTCAATAATGTACGGCAGTTACTGTTCGTCAAATTCTCACAAAACATTAGACACAATGCACATATTGCATTCGCAGAAAACTAGATAAAGTCATCAACGCTTGTTAGCAATGAACTAGTAAGCCGCAGACGTAGCATTTCAGAAATCGGTAAGCCGAATAGAACTTGATAAGGTGAAATTCAATTATCTTTTGCTAATGATCCGACCATGGTCGGTATTGATCTCCGGCGCATATTGCGTGCATCAGAAACCAGTAGGCCATGCGGACCCCAAGAGCGGAAATTGAAGCGAAACTCACTGTTGTCAGCATCAGCTGAGTATTATGTGGCACGCATTTTAATATTTTGTGGGATCAGAACCAAAGAATAAACGACGGAACGATGGTATACAGCCTCCCGCTGGCGGCAACGTTTATATTGACAAGACAGCAGTGGCTGTCAAATGACGGGTCAACGTGTAAAATATCTTTGCCCGTTGAATTATCCGTATTATAAAACTTTGGATTAAAGAAAATACACAGCACACAATACCAAGTTAACACAAACAAACTAAAGCCCTCATTTACCAAAAATATTAATAACTAATGTTTATTCTGGGTACCGAGACGGCCGACTTTCAATAAATATAGACACTCATTTAAGATGCTTCGTGTATCCCAGTTACCTTGGGTTTTTGGTCACGATTCTATCAAAACGAACAAATTCTCTCGGCATTTTCAACCAAGCTGCCACGCATTTCAATGTTAACAATAATGAAAGCCATTCAAACAGCGTTGACAGATAATTTATGAAAACCTACAGTACTTACCAGCTATAACGTCAAATGGGCTCTGCAATCAATACTCCAAAATGCATTCATGTAGTCATCTCGAAAAAATGTTTAGCTTTTTTACGATGCAACAAACGTTGGCTAGATAGAAGAGCGTTTACATCGCATATACTGTCGCGGCACACTTCAGGTGTAAATATAAGCTAATAACAGCAGGTGTGAATGTTAAAACAAATGTATGTTCTAACAAGACCAAAGCTCTGGCAACAATAACATGGCCGCCCTCTCGGTTACAATAAAGAGACTGCGTCAGATCGATATTAGCTCCGGGTGTTCATACTAACTTCCGCAAGCCTCCAGATCGAAAATTAATATTCCGACAGCACCACATTACACTCGCCTCATCGACGGATATTTTGATAATGGGATTCAGATTTTGTTCTTTTGGATAGTGTTATCATGACAAGCGAACCATTAATAGCTAACACTTTGACATTTCGCCCACTTAAATCTTTAGAAGCTATTCTGCAAAAAAAAAAAAAAAAAAAAAAAAAAAAAAAAAAATTGCGACAGAAGACAGACATAGTTATAGTTGATAACAGGACCAATGAGACCCTTTCAAGTAAATGAAACACTTTCAATTGCAGCCTTATGCAGAAAGTGAAAATGTGTGATGGTTTTATCTAATCTGGCTAGGGTAGAATCCACAAGGAAATATTGGCTATTATAAAATCCAATAGGAATTCCCTGTCTACAGGCCTGATTACTCTTCATTATCCTTGTTTCACATTGCTGTTGCATGTGCCAAACTGTAAAATGACAGAGCTTGCGTGTTTTAGAAATTGACGATCGCTGACGAAAACCTTTTTCGTTTTATTTCTTGATCGTCAAGTGTCGCTGGCATTAGAACAGTCACGCCTCCTTCGATTTCACGTGACAATACTCACGAAAAACCAGCGCCATTTGCTCAAATAAAGCTATCATCTTTTGTTCTTTAAAATATCTAAACAATATAAAAATGAATCTACATTTCATAATGTTATGGCTCATGGGATGATACTAAAAAGGGTGGAAACAAACAATACTAACAAATTTCTCCCGTTTTTTTTTCTCCCGTTTTTCCTTTATTTTGTTATGTTTTCGAGCAATATGTCGACCTGGTCAATAATATTTAAAAAATTTCAGCCGTGGCAAAGATTTAATAAAACGTTTTATTGGGACGATTTGCCGCTTTTACATTTACTTAAAACATAAGCGAAAAAGCGAGTAGCAAGCCTTAGGGAGTGATATTGGTGATCTAAACAGAAATTAGGAGTGTTCGCGTAAAAACAATCGAACGATCTCTTTCAGCATATACTAAAGGGCTAATGCAAACATATCAAGTGAAGAAAACGAATCCGCTGTCATAATGCTATAATTTATTTTTGTATTTACATAAGAAAAAAATCAAAATTCAAGGGAAATGGTATCAAATAACAAGAAAGCACCAATTAAGTGTTACATTTCAAAGAAGCACCAGAAATTTTGGTGAGCTGGTAAGTACACATGACACATCTAATGACAAACATATATACAATATTAAACTCCAAAACAGTGGTTCCACTCGAAAAAAGACACATGTCAGCAATCAACAATCACTTAATGCTACAGATCGGCACATAAGCACGATACAAATGGAAAATGTCAATACTTCCATCCTTGAGTATCAGCTGTATTACAGCACTATTCTAAGCATGACGTCTAAGAATACTTAGTTATCTTGCAAAGTGAGAAGAAATGAAAATTCAGCATCCTGTAAATACTGTTAATGTTACCCAACAAGTCAGAACACATACTTCAAGTAGAGGGCTTCTAATTTCAATACTCCATTAACATGGACTGCACACAGTGTTTTCTTTTCATTTAGTGCTGTGAAATATCTAATTCATGACAGTGACACACTCACAGTGACACACTCTCTTTTCTCTCTCTCTCTCTCTATATATATATATATATATATATATAATTTTAACTTACAAGAAAAATATGGTATTTCTATTTACACTCATTTTGTTCTCATTAGAAACTACTTAGATATAATTAAAACAAGATAAAATCAATAAATCTAAAAATGAAATCAAGTTAGTATCACTGGAAATAGTCTATCATGTGAGGCAATGCAGGTAATTTTACAACCAACTAATATACTAAATATGCAAAACAGAATCAATCTTGCATGCTTTCCAGTTATGATCAGCAGGTGACATAGGGCATTATATAAGAACTGCCCATCCTTCCATATATTTTAATTTTTCATCTTCATCTGTCAAGGCTTCCCTCGCAAATCAGCATTAATCCCTCAAATAAAGACACCAATGGGGTTGGCTGACCCAGATATACTGGTTTTAGATGATCCCGAGTGTATTGGGTCTGGATCAGGTATAACATAGTCTGAGTCGTTGATGTAACCTTGTAAATGTGTGCTATAGCGAACTGAACCTTCTGTCAGAGAATGTGCATCCTGGAATGATAGAAAGTTAACTATTTTATTTAAAAAACATTTTAATATGAGATAGCCATACCTGTCAAACTACCTTTATAAATAATGACTTATATCTGTCTTATTCTATTGGTTTTACACTGTAGCAGTACATAAAATATGCACATGCACAGGCTGTCAAGGTAATTAATTCTCAACAATCTCACCTGTCACCTACATAATAAAAGATCAAGGTATAAATATATATATTCAATATTGGATAACACTTGCAAATGCCACAAAATTACAAGTTAGGAGTTGCATTAGTAGCTCATAATGTACGGCATGCTATGAAATGATTAGATCCACATTGTCAGTCAAATAAAACTGGAGATTGTGCTCTAAGTCAAATGTTTGTTAAACAGCAACAACGCAACAACTGCTTAACACAATCCATGATTATAACTATTGGAGTGGGTATAAATATTTTCAATTTTAAGCCAAAGTTAAGTTATTCTCTTCCCTAGGACAGCTGAGTGATGACATCATTTTTGTGCAAAAATTCTCTGTAGAGAAATGTAAGAGAAAACCAAATATCTCAACTTGCAACCAAAAAGTTTGCACACCAAAAAACTCCAAACACTTCCTAGGTACTAAATACCTACTGTATTACACGTCTCTGCTTATCTGGCTGGCAAACAAGCCCCATTGTCAGGAAGGGCTTCCCGAAACTATGCACAATGATGTTTTAAGAAAAATGGCAACAGTTACGTCAGTCCCAAGCTTCCCCAAAATTTTAAGAGAAATGAACTTAGATATTTGACAATACAAAAACTATTTGGTATTATGGAATGATACAATTCCTGATACATTGGTGAGTAGTGTTCAATCTCATATTCATAATAACACACACTGAGGAAGGTTACGGTGTGACTGAACACTTTGTTTCTGCTTTTTCATTTTGTGTAGAAAATGAAATGTTTAAACTTATGATTATTATCAATTATTTTCATTATAAAATATCAAATTATATATAATTTTGAAATTTTTATGCATAATAAAATATGACTTTATAAACTGTTCATTAGTAAATTTTTTGGCCTTTGATGAAATAATATTTTAAATATTACATAGCATTCTTCACATGAAAATTTACTGCTCTTTCTATCAGATGCACCAAGTGACTCAATCTTTTATAAGCTTCCATGCTTTGTAATATGCTATAATGACTACCAGTAGCTACCAAAACTTACCGCCATGTTTAACTACATTAAAGACACTATAAAATGGCAAATTATGCATTTGCAAAGGCAATTGCGACCGGATTTACTTGTCGCAAATAATAGCCTCAAAAGCTATTAGAACTCAGTTGCAAATTATGCCTTCCAGTTAGGCAACAGCGATGGATTTCCACGTTTGCATGCAGTTGCAATTTGCGATGCTTTTGAGTTAATGAGCCTAGGCGTCTAATGTCAACCCCACTGAGAGGCATGTGGATTGCAGTACATAATAACCGATCTTTACTTTTTTAAATAACAGAGGGGCAGTGCCTGGAAAGTTACGTAATAGTCACCAACTCTCTAATCATAAAGTTAACCTTTTTTATCACAGGGTCCCAGTGCAGAAATTCTTTCTGAGACCCTGATGGAGGGTATGTTTTTGCCATTACTTCGATATGACATGTAGGCACAGATCTATAAAGGTGTGACCAACCTTAATGTAATCAGTCAAAAAGCCTTTTGATACTGATGGCTATAGATGTCAATAGACTCACTAGTGGAGGAAAGAACTGAAATGGCATTCTGTTATGGAAAGCAGATTAAAGAACATGTATGCATTATGCAGCAAAAATGAAGGTTAAAAGTCCAGTGCACATCACCTGTGCAACTGGACAGAAAAGGAAATGATAAGGATGATATATTTTTGTCAGTTTAAAACACCAAATTGTCTCAATCACAATTAAATGGGGTTATGGAGATGTTCAGCACTCTGAATTTTAACCAAAAGATGTGATATTCTCATGACCACATTGGTTAATGAAGCAGGTAACCTTGTGACATCTCAAGGATCATTAACACAACATTTCTGCTTTCTTAGTACTATTGATTTTCTCCAATTCACTGGAATCAGACCTGTCAACATATAAAGCCAATGTTAATTAGGTAAGCTGTATGACTATCATCAATAATTCCATTCAATTAGCAAAAAAAAAAAAAAAAAAAAAACTTTAAATAAGACCAAAAGATCATTTCGAGCAAATGGTGGATTGGGAGTGGGGGGTGGGGGTGAGGAACAGTATTCATATGCTACCTTTGTTTTGGAAGCCCCCCTTCATTCCCACCCACCCCCACCCACCCCACCACTAAAATGTTTGTGCATTGTTTCTCTCTCTATGGATATCAGAACATATAGATCAAGCTGAATGTACTGGTCTACTTACCAAGTCAGTAATGGACCTTTCTACATCACTGCCAGCATAGACATTGCTGACCACCCCATCTTTACTAGCTTCTAAATGGGCTTCATTTTCCTCTAAAATAAAACATGCAGTGAAAATAAATAATTTGAAGGCATATTAATAATGTATGCCTAATCAGCACTTTTTCAATTGAATTTTGTTGTCCCATGCCCTTTCCAGTTATTTAATCTAATATTTTGTTCTGTTTTCAGCAAATGCAACAGTACCTATTACATTTTTATGTTGATGTTTGGAAGAAAGCATTTTCTTTAGTTTGGAGAGTATTTTCCATAGGTTGAAACTTATCCATGTAAAATCTGGCCTATAGTTCTCCATAAGTCACATCTTTGAGGGTTGATTTGTTATATGCCATATAAGGTATATACCTTCTACTTTTCTCTTTATAATAAAGAAAGCAATTGTTGCCAGCACCAGAAGTAGGAGAATTCCCAGTGTAACTCCAATAACTGCACCTGCGTCAGTACCATGAGCTGAGGTAAAAAGAACAATGCCATTTCATATCATGTTTCACATTAATTTCAACGTAAAATAATTCCTCGTTCTTTTTGAGGTATCACAGCATTTAAAATATTTTAAAAATTATTATACTTATTTTGATGTTGGTAATCACATTAATCACAAATAAAATATGTGTTAATAAGCTCGAATTTAAATCATAATGCTGCATCTTGATATTGGAAATAACACAAATGGCCCTGAAAAAACATACAAAAGAGTTCATACTTGTTGTTGCTAGGGTAACAATATTTTTGCTTCCACCCAAGGTCCAATTCTGATGGACAGTGATTCTGACTACGGAGAGAGGGTAGTCCACCACACATTGGTATACTGCCATGTCACTAGGGCTGTCCACTATCAGGGTAGCCTCCCGGGACACCAAGGTTCTTGTACCATTTTCCATCCGGTACCATCGGTACGTTGAAGGGGGACGGCTATTCTTGGAACAATTCAGCTTAAAGTTACCATCTGAGAGCTGGGCAATGTTTAGTGGGGTGTTCTTGGGTGGATCTAAAAGTATAGGTATGTAATGGATTATACATGATGTTATATGAACTCAGTTATAAATACATACATTAATGCCAATGCACAAATGTTTTTATGATACATGCATGAGTAAAATCATGTGTTTGGTGTTTCATGGGGCATTAAAGGAGTTTCTGGAAATATATGACTACAAAATGGTTCATATTTACCATCAATTTCCCCACATTAGCAAAGAAAATATTATTTATGAATTGTTACCATGTGAAAACTTGACAGTCCAATTGGGAATTTTTTTATCTATGGATTTATTCTACTTTTAATCCTAGATTTACTTTAGCAGCATTCAACACAATAAAAAAATGCTTGACAAGTAGGTTGAACAAAGTAGTGCAGTATCCTGAAAACAGAAGCAACCTACTAAAGGGATTCATTATTTGATGTCTAAACTGAACAGGCAGGCAGACATCATGTGAGATAAGGAAGCTAAGTGGAGACAGGGGAATAACAGGAAGCCACAAGCAAGTTGGCAGTTGGTCATTAAAATCAATATGAAAAAACATTACAGAGTTGCAGGTCATGTCAAAAGCTTGAATATCTTGATTTCAAATTCATCAGGATATTCAGCAAATATTGATAATCCATTAGAAAATCTGAATATATTATTGGATAATTTCTTACTGTGAAAATATCAAAGATTTGCTATTTTCTCTGTTGCAGTGTCCTACATCCCAGGCACATAGGTGTGTGTGAGTTGATGAGCATGTTTGATTTATTGAACAACAGGCTTACTTTGAGATAGTAATGCAATCAATGTCACATAGCATTAACATTCTCCATCACCATGATGAATATAGTACAGTACTAAATGCCTTCACAATTAGCTAGTGAGTGATTTTTACTGATCACTCCATATTTGCAAAGACATTACTAGTATGTAGTCTTTCAACATCACCCTTTTAGCAGCAGTCACACACACATTTATTTGTATTAATTTATTCACGTGTGTGTGAGTGTGTGTGCATGTGTGCACGTGTGTGTGTGTGTGTGTGTGTGTGTGTGTGTGTGTGTGTGTGTGTATTTTTTTTAATCAAAGAACTTACAAATTGCCTTGTGAACGAGAGAGAGAGAGAGAGAGACTCACAGAATTGTTCATCAAGTCTCATCCTTGTGGATTCTGACTTCTGGAAAGCAGGGTGCCTACTTTCACAGGTGATCTCATCTAATAAGGAGCCAAACTCCAGGGCCAACTCACTAACAGTTGTTGTCACATTGCAGGATCCCCTGCCAACACTGTTGGTGTTGTATGTGGTCAGACGACTGTCACTGTCAAGCAACTCAACCTAGTTCAAATAGGATGCTAATTTTTCAAGTGTGTTTGTGGATAGTTGTAGGATGCCCAATTGCAGTTAGATAGGAATTAGATTAAAAATATTTTAGTTGTGACTTTGTTCTTGGTACTCTGAATAACTAAGATAATAAAAAATAATAATAATAACAGTGTAAACATTTATAACAAAATATACTAAATATATGATCCATTTTGTTCCATCATCAGTTTTGCATTTATCAAATGTATATTTTAAGTAATAAATGCACTAGCTTTTTATTCATCAAAATGTACGATATGCACCTTACACAAGTTCTTCAAATACAGGCATCACTTAGAGGAGATATTAAAAGGGCAGGTGGCACATAATATCTTACCTGATTGTAATACCATGCCAGTTGAGCTGCTGGCTTTCCAAACTGGCTCCTGCAGATTAATTTGATGACTTTTTCCTGAATCCATGTTGCCTCTAGTGTGGGTTTACTGGGGGCCACTGAAAATGACAATGGAACAATATTTTATCAAGATAGATGAAATACTACAGGGTTTAACATACCATATACAATCATTACTGGATAATTTGAGATACTTGTAGATGGACAAAGAGCAATAAATACCTCCAAATAATATTTAACTTTGCAATTATGAAAATACCTTCCCAAAACAGAACCCAACAAGAAAAATTTGCTATTAAATAACACTACCATTAACTTAAAACTCAAGTGTTACTGTCTCTCAGATTATGGTTTCCTATCTATAAAATGTAATTATGTGCAGTTATTTGGGTTATCTTTTTTTTCAATTTCTTTTATTCTGTAATGATGCCATATTTAAGTACTAAACTGTTATAATTATACATGTACTGCACTATACCCAAAATGTACGTTACTCAATATATTTAATGTTTTATGCCTTTGATAATCATAATGTTCCTTTGCTCTTTTAACAGATTAGTCATCACCAATTAAACAGTGTAAATATGTTGGATTTTCAATGAATCTAGCAATTTGTGTATTATGGCTACCACCTGTACCTTAATTTGAACAAAGCAAACAGAAATAAACAATCAATATCTACAGCAACTAACAAACAATAACAGCCTTTGATATAGTAATAACTTGAGAAAATACATAACAGTACAGTTTGGTGGAGACAGAACTGTCACATAGACTTATAATGGCCTCTGAACAATAACAGCCATAACTATTGTTAGGGCTTTTCATTTACTGCAGCATAAACACAGCACAGTAAAACATGTTCCGTGTCATTTTAATGACTGCACAGAAACACAATAAATGAAATGCACTGCTGGAACAACACTTGGGGTTTACTTTCATCCCTCCAAGTATTACATACATGATGGATTATTGCATGATTGAAATCTACCTACATGTACATGTAGCTGAACCAAAGATTATTGCATGTACCATATGACCTTGAATCAAACAGGACATTTTGATGAAAATCTTGTCTAAATAACTTTAATAGGTAATATTTATTTAATATAATTCTATTAGATCTGCAAGTGAAAAATCATGTAGCTAATCATAAAAGGATGTAATGAGTGGGCCTCTAAGAAACACCACCAGCAGGTTTCTTTTTAATTCACAAGTCATGCATTCTCTAAGTCATTCTGTAATTATCTTAAACTCTCCCCTCTTGGTGCTCTGATATTGTTGTCTTCTTTAACCACTGGTCTAAACAAATTCATATATGGGGTTAATTACATTATGGTGTTGTAAGTTGCTTATCATCAGACAAAAATTAATTCATTATATTCCCCTACAATGGTGGTGAGACTAAAGGGTCAGTTGATTATTTACACAGGAGTAAGGCAGGTGGAGCGTGCAAATTGAGGGACCAACTAAGTTAACCTTTCTTACCATACTTGCACCAGTCATCCTTACAAGAATGATTCACTTCAATGCACAACTGCAGAAGCCATTCAGTTACAAGATTTTGCAGTTTCTTCAAGATACAATATTTTATTACCTTTCACTGAATGAAGAAATCAAAATGTCAAAAATATGATTTTATTTTCTCTAAAAAATACTGAAATGATAAGTACATTGAATTATCTTTTAGTGAATTATCTTAAAGTTTGGCGAGAACAATTACAAACAAAATATCATGGTAGTAATTGTAGCATGTCAGATTATACACAAGTATACAAAATCTGTCTAAACTCACCTTGTACAGTTAGCCTTGAAAATGCATTCCCATCTGTAGGCTTAGGAAACAGTCGTATATCACACTCATATTTGCCTTCATCAAGACAATCCAAATTTGCCACAGTCAAGCTTGTCTCTTTCTGTCCATCCACAATAGGAGGCTCAGAAAATGTTACCCTGTTGGCAAGAATATACTGTTGGACCCTTTTTGCATTTGATGTATTAGGTGAATAATCCAGAATTTTTTGGTCTCCATAAGAGTTTGAGTGTCTTCTCCAAGTAATTAACATCAGTTCCTCACTCTGATTATGTGTGCATGTAAAAACAGCACTATTTCCAACAGAAGATATCACAAGGGGTGGGGACCATACTTTGAAAGAAATAACTGAAATAGCAATAATTATATTAAATGCATCTTTCACTAATTTGTTTAAGAATTATTCATAATTAACTGATTCAATCAGGCACCCATACTGTGTGCAATCTACAAAAAATCCAGCTTCTTTGAATGGCAAAGATATATAAACATTAGAACCAGGGGGAAAATACTTACGTATATGTTTCATGTTATGTACCTTAATGTAAGGCCTTTTATGCTTTATTTCCCATCTGAATAGTGAATAAAATCGTTGAAGAAAATTGAAAATCAATATCTTTTTACATTCTCCCACACATAACTGGTACAAAATCAATAGCATTAACGGCTAATAGCACTGGGTTAAAGACAATTATTTGATGGGGTTGTAAAATGTGTATAATTTGGAGTAATGTCAGATTTTAAAAAGTTTTTTTACTAATGCTAGCACACATTTAAAAGTCATCATACATAACGGTTACCTATTGCAAACGTTGCTGCTTGCCCCAAACAAACTAGGGTTAAAAGGGATCGAAAACATTTGAATGGAAAGGCAAATACCTGACACAATGCTTATTTATACTAGACCTGAGGCATTCATTCACACTCCATCTCTATTGCTGTTCAAAATGGTAAAATTATAAGCTTTGCCAAACTTGTACCAATTAGGTAAGCTATATGACCAGAATGTTTCTTGTTGAGAAACTTGCCAAATGTTGGACTGTAGAATTTTTTCATATTAAGATACTCACCAGACTTGTTGAGGGTGATGAGGAAAGTCAGGTACCTCATAAGTTTCTCCATCTTCTCATAAAACTGACTGCCACGAGCAAAGAGACCTCCAAAATACATCCAATCACGTGCCCACTTTCCAAACAAAGCACATTGAATAGGACCTATTTTCTACTATATTAGACATTTTCAACTGGTGCTCTCAAGCTGAAGTTGTAAATGGTAGTATGAATGCTACACTAGAGTAAAGGAAGCTATGTTTTTTTAATGAAAATACACTGAAGACGTAAACATTTGAAAAGCATTTTATATGCAAAACATGCCTTTGAAAAAAAGAATCAAAAACTTATTTTCTTTTATATGTACTTAAACAAGGTAAAGATCATAAACTGGAGAGGAATGATTTATTAAAGTAGGGCATTTACATATAGTAGACTAAAACATTTTCACTTTTTAAAAAAAAATAGAATTAGATTTTCTTCATCGCTAACCACACTCTGCTTTGTTTGACATATAATGCAAATTATTAAGAAGGTAAAATACTAACTTCTTAGTATATACACACAAAATATTTAGTGGGCACATTTTCAATTTATAGAATTTTTTGAAAGTAAGTTATGTGAAATCAATTGTTGGCAGAAGTGACAGACCATTCTGTCAAACATAACATTAACTGTCAGTAATCTGAGTTAGGCAAAGTCATATATTCTGTAAGTGTAAATGAAAAGAACTGTAAAGATATTATATCAAATCCTTTAAATGTATGTCATTTGAATTTCTATCAATACACAGATTTTACAATACAAGATGTCGTGATGAATGTGTATTGCCAAGTTTAAGTCAGCTCCTGAAACTGGGATACTACAACTGTAACAATATTTCAACAAAAAATTAGTATTGTAGGATAGGCATCTTTGGACCTATCTTCTTTCCTGTCATTTTCTTTGGGTCCATCTTAATGAAAGAGAGTCCCACACATCCTGGCCACTGCTCCATATGCTAAGCTGACTGGCTTGTGACAATGTCCAAAACCAATAGTCTACTGACTGGTTCATTTTCAACTTTTAAAGCAGCTTGGACTTTGTTCAACTGATTCTCTCCAAGTGGTTCATCGTGATGAATTTCCACCCAAGGTTTTCCTTAAATAAAAAAGTTAAAAATAAATATATTGGGTGTTTAAAAACAACTTTCCCTCTAGTCAAGTAAATACTTTAACATGTTAAATTAAAGATAGCAACAGCATCAAAGCTAAATAATAAAGAACAATGGAAGTTTTAGAAATTTGGAATGTATGCAATATGATGTTTTAAAAAGGCAACAAGCAGATAATATGAGAGTACAGCTTTTAAATATCAAACTGTAAGTCTGATGAAGACAAATGACCTAGACTGTAGTTATAATGAATCAGGTGAATGCCTATTAAGGTTCAACAATAATTAATAATAAATGTTTCATTCCCTTTGTATCCCATGCTGATAATTCCAACATACCTCTTTCAATCCTGTCTCCCACTTGTACCAAGAGCTGTATGCCTACTGCAAAGTTGATCTTATCCCCCGCCTTCTTCCTGCCAGCTCCCAATTCACCAGACACCTCAGCCAGTTTCAATGCATCTATGTCAGCAACCCAACCTGAGCAACAATGTGTTTGTCTCAACTAATACATTCGTAGCACAATCATTCAATCTTACAATCTTACAATATCAAGTTTCAAGATGGTCTAAAGTTTCTCAACATAACAAAAAAATGTTGCCTAAAAGATGTTGCAATATTATAATGATTCATTCAGAAGAGGGAGCAAATATGCATACATCATTCTATCATATGTAGCCTCTATTCTAATGGTAACAAGGCAGCAAAGGCTGTCAAATGTACAGACAAAAAAAAACAGAAAAAAAGATGCAAAATAGGTCATTTTGTCAATTTTGATGCAATAATAAATAATGCTTATAATAGCACAGTCAGTCAACACTGATTTTTAATCATGCACAACAGGTAACATGGTCAATAACAGGAGCAGTTCCAGAGATATTTTCTGACAGTATTCCAAAGTATCTTTGTTGATCCATCCTCCATTTTGATGGTCTCCCAACAGAAACCCGTTAATATAAACTTTAAAGTCTGACTGTCTTCCAGGAGACCGAGAAGATGGTCTCAATCCACCCCTTCAATAAGATTACAGTTTCAGGACCATGAGAGCTAAAATTCACATGATGAAAGTCCCCATATATGAAAAATGATGACAGTGCATAAAATAATATTACAGCGTGTTTAAAGACATAAATACCAATACAACTGCTTATGTGGAAATACTGAAAATGAGAAAGGTGGATGAGAGTTAAAAGTCACACCTTAAAAATGCCAGTGTTGGAGAAAAAATTAAAAAGAAAACAACAAAAATATAATCCCAATGAAGCTGCTATTCACTGCTTCCTTATTATGGACACTATGTTACCTAGCAGAGAGCTTAACCTTTGGGAGTTTACAGGGAACTATCAACAAGTGTGCTTTATGAAATTTCATTTAATGGCCACTTAATTAGGCAAATGAGTTTATAACACTGAACTTAGCCTAGTGAATACCCAAGGGGACTTAACAGACTGACCACACAAATTTGTCTATCAAAGGTCTTCAGGCCCATAAGTCACACCTTAAGAAAAGCAGAAAACAATAATGCGCAAAAAAAAAGGAGACTGCCAATTCTGATGCAATAATACATTATGTTTAACTGCACAGTCAACATCAAATTTTAATTATGCACAACAGGTAACATTGATGAAAGTAAAAGCATAAGGCTTCAGGCCCATCAGAGTTCAAATTTACAATTAGAAAGTGCCAGAATGAGATAAATGAAAATTTCAAAATGCATAAATTTGATAAAAATGATAATCCAATAGAGCTGGTTTTCTAATATGAGCTGTATGTCAATCCTAAGAATCATTCTTGTAAGAATAGTTAAAAAATAGAAAGTAACACTTTACTTAACATAATATTAATGGTGGCAGAGCACAAAGTAGGGTTTTTGTCAAATTTGATGCAACATTTCATAATAATTAACTAATTAAATACCACCAATTTTAAAATATCTACTATTAAAAACATGGACATTAAGAAAATTTGATTACCACTGGGCTTCATGCCCAAGGGAGCTCTAAGTCCCACATTGAAAATTGCAACATGTAAAAAAAAAACCTGTATTACTTCCAAACAATTAACTAATGAGACAATTTTTCAACTGAAGCTGTATTTCAGTCCTATGTTTCTTTCCTGTAAGTGTGAGAAGAGCAAGTGCCCAGAATAGGGTTTTGTTCAATTTTGATGCAATATTACACAATGCTTAACAGCATAATAACCATAAATTGTTTAATAATAAAATAAAAGTATCATGGATATTCAGAAAATGTGACTGGCCCATAGAGTTCAGAGTCATACTTTGAAAATCCCAAAATGTAAACAAGAGAAAACTGTACTGAAAGAGTTTATTTCCATTTTCAACACCTTTTTTACATAAAGCAAAATAATCAATTTATTGTCATTTTTATATGATCAATCAGAAAATATGTTGTCAAAGCAAACATATCAATAGCACAATTATAAATGTCCAACTTGCTCCATTCTGAGATTCTGAACATAGTGAATGGTTGAATCTGACAAACTGTAAAGATATGAGTTTTTTTTTCCATTTTTGACGCTTATTACGCAATACACAATATCAGGTTTACCATCATTTTTATATAATCAACTAACAATGTTGTTAAGATGCAGAAAATGTCAAAAGAACAACTTAACATATCTAATTAGTTCAAAAATGAGACTGTTAACATGCCTAAGAATTAAATTTGAGGAAAAAACAATTATATACAAAAAAGGTATAACTTCACCAAACCTTTAATGATCAAGCAGATCAAAGTGAAAAAACAGCATAACTTCTCCAAAATAGGCCCGATCATGCTGATTTTCAAACTTGACCTGCGTATTATGAATATTCATCAGTTCTGTAAGTTTCAAGCCAAAGGAAAAAATGGTTTTCCACTTATCATGTTATCGGTAAAAGTGCACGGCGGCGACGATGGCGACGACAGACGCAGGTGATGGCTATATGTACAGACACATCTGTGTCTGTACATAAAAAGGAGTGTGAGGGCGTTTCTTTCTAGTCCCTATCCTCATCAGCACTATATCACACATAAAATACCTTCTCCCACACTATTGAGAGGTGTAACATTATGAGAAGATGCCAAGATGTTTGAGGTATTCCCCTGTTTCTGGCACAACTGCTCGGCAACTTCTTCTGCTACGCCTTGAGCTTTCAGCATGGCACAAAACTTCTCCAGTGCTGCACCACTGCTGATTACATCCTCCATTTTGAGTTTACCAGCAGATACTGTGGAAACATGCTGTGCAGCATATAACAAATGGGCCCCTTTCATCAAAAGACAAAAATATGTTACAGAAAATTTGTATTAGTCATTTTAAAAAGATGTCCAGTTAAAAAAAATACAATAAATAAAACATTACAATGAAACAACCATACATGTTTTACACAGTGGTTTATTTAGAAAGTTTATTATCCTTTATATGGTGTTTAACTACAGGGCCCCATGAATGTTTTAAATACTTGTGCTATCTTTCTTTTTGTAACTAGTTCATCATTTTTCACTGAAACTTGTTTAATATTACTTCAGCCATCTTCCTCTATCTCTTTGTAATTTCACTTTTATTTATTTATTTTTAGAGTAAATTATGTGCTGTATGATTATGTTTATTGTAAACACCTTTAATGAATTATTATTAAAAGGCTTTAAAAAATAAATATTGCTAGTTGTCCTCCTGCTAAATTTAACTTCTTTTTTATCTTAAAGAAGTTGCTACTTACCAAGGAACTACAGTAAAATATATATATATATATATATATAATAAACAAAATGCAAGTGAAAGATAACAATATACTAGTATGCTTTTTATAAACTGTTTAAGGTACAAAGTTTAGGAATGGAAAGAGACATTAATGATAGTCATTAAAATCACTGATGACTTTGAAATGAAAACTCACCCAAGTTTACTACCAGTTCTTTCAAGTCTCCAGGACCCTGTCCACGAAGACAGTCCAGTGCTTCCTGTACTTCAAGACTGTTTCCAATGGTCTTCCCCAGTGGACTATCCATGTTGGTAAGCAAGGCAACTGTCTTAATGCCCATGCTCTCACAGCTGGACACCTGTCAAGTGAAACATGGTTCACCAGTTGGGCATATGCATTTTTTTCAGCAATGACATTTCTTAATCACCATTAGCACTGTTTATGACTTTCTATTTGTGAATTTGAGGTTTGATATTAAATATAACATTGACAATGACACCATCCATAAAATTGTCCTCAACAACATAATTGCCAATTATTTGACCAAGCAGAAGAAAGGAAACATATCAATCAGACAGCAACAACTTCAGATGAGTGTTGTTGCAATTTTTCATCTAGGAAGATTTTCAGGTGTTGATTAAATAATATTTCAAAACAACTCTGTAAACTTCAATATATTGTTTTGCAGAAAAAAAAGTATCAACCTTGTGTGTGAGTCAGTCAAAATAATCACTTTTTAAGATCTGCAAAACAACTATTATCAAGGTCTATAATTGTACACTATCACATAATGTGATCTATTAGAACATTTCAATTGTATTAATATGTTAGGAAACAGTCTAGTTTTAAATTAACGATATTTTCACTGGTGTTAATTACATAATATTTTAAAACAACTCTGTAAACTTCAATATATTGTTTTGCAGAAAAGAAGTATCAACCTTGTGTGTGAGTCAGTCAAAATAATCACTTTTTAAGATCTGCAAAACAACTATTATCAAGGTCTATAATTGTACACTATCACATAATGTGATCTATTAGAACATTTCCACTATATTAATATGTTAGGAAACAAGTCTGGTACCTCACGTAGACATCAGCCGGTCTACTGATAATACAGGTGGAGCTACATTGTCAACTAGACTAAATTGTACTTAATTGATATATATTTTTACTGAAAGTGCAGTAAGCTGCAATTATTTCCATAAAATAACATAACAGTTTTTTTTTTGGGAGGGGGGATAAAAATATGACTTTTTTTTCTTTTTTTTTCTGAAGGAATATATTACAATTCTCACAGCATTGTGCAGCTATTGAAAATGAATAAACAACTTAGAATCCTTCATGAGATTTGTCATCCATCATCATTTCCATTTTTTAATACGTTAGGAAACAGTCTGGTTTTAAGTCAACACTGATAAGTACCTCACGTAGACATCAGCCAATCTACTGATAATACAGGTGGAGCTACAAGTACATGTACATTGTCAACAAGACTAAATTGTACTTAACTGATATATTTTTACTGAAAGTAAGCTGGCATAATTCCCCCAAATTACATAAAAATTATACTATGTTAGATAAGACCTGCACACATGTACCATGCACAGATATGTATACTTGTTAACCACTTATAGTTACCATTAATCCACCCAATTTACGACCTTCTTCAACATTTTTGGTGTATGATCCTTTTCCAACTTTTATGTCTAAAACCAGTGCATCTAGACCTTCTGCTGCTTTCTTGGAAACTATTGAACCTTAATGCATGAAATAAGATGATGTAACATAAACATGCATTAATTTTAAAAACATGTTTGATAAAAAATTTCAGTTCTCTGTAAAAAAATAAAAGAAATAAAATAATATTAAAAGAGTCAACAATTTTTACACCACCTACAATTTGATGCCAGCCATATATACTCCTCAAAAACTGTTAAGGTTGCTTATTTACTGTGGATAGGGGGAAAATGAACATCTAATAATTAAAGACAAATTTTTCAAAAAAAAAATAACACACTATTTCTGTGACATGCAATAGGCTTATGACAAAAAAACATTACCTACAATCAGAGGGACACTGTCCACAGTACTGGTGACATCTCTGGTAGCGTACATAATACGGTCAGAGGGCACCAGAGTATTGGTCTGTCCCACAATGCAACAGCCCACCTTTTCCAGGATCTCAAGCATGTCAGAAGATGCAATCATTACCTGGAATCCTGGTATTGACTCCAGCTTATCTAAAGTCCCCCCTGTGTGACCCAGCCCACGTCCTGAAATCATGGGAACCTGGAAATGAATGGAGAGTAGTAAACTGTATAAAATGTCTTACCAATAAATAAAATGTTCCATTATGTATGTGCAATTTTAATGGAATCAACTTAAATGAGGACTGAAAAATTAAATGTTATTAAAGGGATAAAAAAATGTTTGTATGAGATTCATATTACACAAAAAATACATAGTAAATAACTCACAGTAATATTATTTCCATTTTACCATTAAAACAGCAATTATTGCAATTATTCTGGAATATGTACTTGCCATTAGACCTTGTGAACCTTAATAATGGCTATACCTCTGTAATAATTTCTTAAGAGACTATTACAAAAAAAAAACAAACTTTTAAGGAAAAAAATGACTTCAAATGTCAGAGTGGACTTGTTCATTATTGGTAAGTAAAGGATAATCATTGCTCATTCCTAGGAAATTAGTTTTTTGGCCAAAATGAACAGTAGTCATCCCTTTAATTTCAAATACATAAAAATCCTACCTTCATCCCACAAGCAGCCAATGCAGGTGCCAGGGGCAAACTAACCTTGTCCCCGACCCCCCCAGTACTGTGCTTGTCTACAACACAACCTTTCCACTCTAATGGCCAGGACAACACCTCCCCAGAGTCTCTCATAGCTCTGGTCAGCCAACTTGTTTCCTCCAAGGTCATACCATTCAGGAAAATTGCCATCAACATGGCCCCTGGCAATTGCAAAAATTCAGTGGGATGATGAGAGGTAAAACTGTTAACATCCAGGTTTTAGTTTGTTACTCATTCTGTTACCTATTTTGTCATTAGTAACTCTGATGCCTTAACTAGCTAATACATGTATCAATGAATAGAAAAAATCTCTCATACCTGTCATCAATAGCTAGAAATATTAGGAAGTTAAATTTGTTGGCATAGATGGACCAGGTGAATCTGATGAGATATTTCTTACAATGTTATAATTGTTGTTGTTGTTATTTTTGTAGGTGATATAGGGTGTTTTTTTTTTTTTTTTTTTTTTTTTTTTTTTTTTGTAGGAGACATAGGGTGGAATACGAAATCTTATCTGACAATTTTCAATGTTGACAAGTATGCAACTGAACAACCTGCAGCTCCGAGGAATCATAAACTGAAGAAATGTTGTATAATTTCAAGTGTCACCTCGGGGCTGCATGAGTAATCTGTGTATATTTGTTGAGTAGTTCAAATCTTATCAATTTGGTTTCATTTTAAAGAAATACATTTTATGACATTAAGTCCCAGACAAGACCTATATACTTGTGTACACTTGCTGGGGCCGTAGCAATAGTCTGAAAGTTCAATAGTCTGAAGGTTCAAGGCTAAAAAAAAAAAAAAACTGTTATGTACAATTTAGTCTAGTTGACAACGTAGCTCCATCTGTATTATCAGTAGATTAGCTGATGTCTACATGAGGAACTTATCGGCGTTATCAGGTAGACTAAATTGTCAGTCAAATAAATTAAATAGATTTTTTTTTCCTATTAAGATCAAATAGGTAATTTGCAAAACATACTAGAAAATTTGCGTGATGTAACTAGGCAAGAACTGATACAAAAAATAAGAACATTAAATGATGATTTAAAACAAATAAGAAAAAAAAGATACAGGGTATAATAATAAGGTCAAAAATTAGATGGATTGAAGAGGGGGAAAAAAGCAACTAAATATTTTTTGGTAAAATTGAATGGAAAATAGAAATTTCGTTAACAAAACTATAAATAAAATACACAAAGATAATGGTGACTTGGCCACAAATCAGAATGATATTATGCAAGAAACAAAACAAAAAAAAATTCTATGAAAATCTTTTTACAAAAAAGGGGACAGAAGATGTTAATCTGAAAGAGTTGTTAAGGTCCTACGAAATGCTTTAGATGAATACTACTACAGCCAACATGCTTGAAGGGAAAATCACAGATGATGAATTACTTCAGACATTAAAAAAATATGAAAAATGATAAAAGCCTGAGCATGGACGGCTTCACAGTGGAATGTTTAAAGCTTTTTTGGATAGATATACATTCCTTTATTCTCCATTCCACAAACGAAGCATACAAAACCAATTAATGTCCATTTCACTCGCTCAAGGAGTAATAACCCTGATCCCCAAATAAGGAAAGCCAAAAGATTTTTTTACAAAATTTAAGGTTAATCTCCCTTATGAATATAGTCTATAAATTGGCATCCGGGTCGATTGCAAATAGAATTAAAAAGTTCTACACACTGATCAACAAAGGCCAGAATGGCTTTATGTCAGAAAGATTTATAGGGGAAAATACAACGGTTGTTTACAACATTAAAGAACACTGCGAGTCTTTCCAAAAAACAGGACTTGTAATGCAAAAAAATTTCTTGAAAGCATTTGACTCTTTGGAATGGGACTTTATCTTAAAGACACTTGACTTTTTTTGGTTTTGGAAAATCAATGATTAAATAGGTAAAAATATTTTTGAAAGATTCACAGTCATGTATATTAGTGAATGGACATTCTTCTTCCCTCTTAAAAGTATATCAAGGCTGTCGCCAAGGTGATCCCCTCTCACCATACCTATTCATATTATGTGCTGAAATTCTTTTTAGTATGTTAAGAAATAATGACCATATAAATGGCATTAAAATGCATAATAAAAAATTTTTTAATATCTCAGTATGCTGATGATACGACAATATTTTTAGATGGAACTGAAAATTTTACATGCTGTGTGCTCCAAACTCTAAAAAACTTCGCTAGCATGTCTGGTTTAACTGTAAATTCACAAAAAACAAAAATGATTTGGATAGGAAATATGAAAAATTCTAACACCGTTCTTTGTAAAGATTTTAAATTAGATTGGAATTCAAAGACTTTGGACATTTTAGGAGTTGAGTTTTCAATCAACTTACAGGAAATGATAGAAAAGAATTATAAAGATAAATTCAAAGAAGTAAAGAGGTGAGACCCCTGACAGTATTAGGTAGGAATGTAGTTCTAATACCTTTGATATTAATTACCTTACTCATCTTTTTACTTCACTTCCTAACCCGAACACAGATTTTATTAAAGAACTATGTTTTAGATTATGGAATGGTAAAATTGATGAAGTTAAAAGGGAAAAGATTATTCAAATTATAGAAATGGAGGAATTAAGACAGAGTACTGACATTAAGTATCACATTTATGCACTAAACCTAACCTGGCTAAGAAGATGTATATTTTAAAAAAGATTCAAAATGGAAGACATCCTTTTTAGACTCAATGAATACCAAATTTACAATGGGCCGAAATTGGTCAGGGAAAACTGATATCTATAAGATGTAATTTAAGAAACTCATTTTGGAAAGATGTTATTGATCCCTGATAAAATCTGCTAGATCATAAAAGTGTCTGTACCAGAGATTAATTTTTGAAGGAATGCATAAGGTTAAATGATAGAATCTTGATAAATAAAAGAACTATGACGAATAAAATTTGGCAGGAATCAGGCATCAATTATATAAATGATTTGATTGACAAAAATGGAGAATATCTTAACTTTAATCAAATTACACAAAAATTTGGAAATATTACTGATTTTGTTACACTTGGTGGTATGATATCTGCTTTAAAAAAAATACAGCTTTTAGACCTCAGTGCACATTGAAACAACACCTAGTGGCACCAAAGGACAAAACCCCCCAAGATCACCGTTGTGGGACAATATACAGGATCAATTGCCATGACTGTAATTCCTTTTACATTGGTGAGACAGGTAGACAGTTGAAGATCAGGGTGAGTGAACACAGGAAATCAGTGATTGTAGGCAATACCAGCTCTGCCATTTCTGAACATGTACACCTATATAGGGTGCTTTCCCAGAGCTTTAGATCGATCTAAGGATTAAGTTTTAGATCGACCTAACTCCCTGGGGGTTCACGCTAAATTGCAGTCAGCCGAGCGGGCACCATAGTTAATTACCCCCTTACAGGTTTTAGTAGGCGGGACAGACGCTTAAGCCGGCCAAGCTGACAGTAATCTAGTGAGACTCCCCACAGGGATAGATCGATCTAAAAATCTATGGAAATGACACCGGCCACAGTATCGATTGGAATTCAACTAAGATTCTTGAATCTGAATCATCCGACATCCCGCGAAAAATACGATAGGCTATCAACATCAGCCGATACCAGCCACCCATGAATAGGGACGGGGGGGGGGGGGGGGGGGG